CTTCAAGACGCTGATATTTATTTCTACGCCGTGATGAATAAATAATTCAAGACAGATTGTAGTGTATTCCTCGTTCTTTAAGCGTCAGTAGGTAAGTAATTCCACAGTCTAAACACTCAGATTTTACATTACATTCTATGAACGCGATATTTCTGGTATTAAAAACGTGAAAACCTCAACTTCATTTCTCGTTCTAAAAACGTAGTATCCAAATATTTGGCCATTTTTTTATGCCTCGTTCTATATAAAAACGCGTAAATTGTAAACACAAAATTTATCGGTAGCGAGTGTCGCGTGAAATGTTAGGCAGCGAGCCATTAAGTCAGCACTTCAGTCTTCACAAGCAAGACGCGTACCGAGAATTGTCTGTTTCTCGTTCTATAATTCACTGCAGGAGTGGTCTTTCAAGAGAGCCATTACTATTAGGACTTACAGTACCTATCATCCGATACCAGCGCCCTTCAACCTTTTGTCCGTCCCCCTGATAGTACTCTGTGTTGAAAACTGGACCGAGAGTGTCACGTGGATTTTTGTATGTTTCTTACCCCCCACGAATTGAACTTTGAACTCTTGATGAAAACTCAAAAAAGGAAAATGAAAAGGAATGCGTGAAAGCTGTCTTGTATATTGTTATTCTGGAATACAGTCTTTATTCGAAGTTGTCCTGTTGTGTACGTTTTATACACTCTGGAACCTCCTTCGGAAAACATGGTGCGACACTCCTGCTTCGCTCGATGGACGGGTAAGCTGGTAACGCCTTGCCAATTAGTTTTGTGAGTTTTGACAAGCTGCTGTTGTTTAAAGTATCATTTAGGTCTGCTCGGTGATTTTACGTCACTTTCGATGTGGCCCTCTTTGATTCGACAGAGAGAAGCTCTGAATAAAGTGGTGAAGAAACTAGAAAGGATGTACTTCGAGAAATACGGTTACAAATTTCCCCTCACAGGTGGGTGATACGCTAGATTGCTAGATAGCCCCAGAAATCTATGATATGGTCCTAAAAAAGAATTTTGCGCAAAGAGATGTTGTTCTACTAACCCTTGCTTTGTTATTATCAAATGAACATTTCTAAAGAACTTTAAACCATTACAGGTAAGAATAAAACAAGAAATAAAAAATCACAAATAATTCCATCGATAATGGTTTATTCATAACGAGGCGTATTGTAAATATTTTGTTAACACGATTCAGAGAAGGCCAATTTAATACTTTGTTCCTCGCTTTGTTTTAGAGGGGAAAAAGATGGATCACCTGGCGCTAGAAAATGAGGGAGGTCGAAAATTGGCCAATCAGATAGTTCGGCAAGTATTCCGACTGCGTGGAAACAAGGAGGAAAAACTTGCGTTTGGCCAAAGAGTGAGTATTTTTCAGGCCAACATTCACGTGTTAATTAAACAGGAAGTTTCCCTACCATATACTATGGATCCTGCTCCATCAGTATACACCTTTTTAATCTTTTTAATTTGCATTTTAACCTTTTCCCTCGAACAAAAATTTAAATGTACGATTGAGAAAATCACTCAAGAAATGTTGTGCTGGAGTTTCCTTCTACCCTTGAAGAAAAACGAACAGTTTTGTAGTGACTTAAAAAAGCTGATCTCAAATCCTGCTCCGTCAAAAGTCAGGAAAATATGCTGCGATACGGAAATGAATGGCAGGGTTGTAAATTGAATAAAACCTCTTCTGGCTTGCTGGTATGTCGGCTTGAGAGATTATCTTTCAGTTTTTAAATTTCTCCTTGAAGCTTCGGTTCTTGGCCAAATATTCATTTTTGGACAATGTCTCAGCCGCAGACATTTTCAGGTGACATAGCAGCCGCCAAAAGGGGGTCCCTCATGATACTGAGGTTTTACTCGATTGTCATTTAAAAGCGTGGTATGATTCGCCGGAAATTGCTGCCGATGACTGTCTCCTAACTTACATGGGACCTGATTTCTGCGACACATGCAAAAACGGAGAGCCTAAGAAAATTCACAGTGCCAAGTTCAAGTCTCCCTTTACACCAGAGACACCACGATTTGAGGTGTGGACCTATAGACCTATAGAGAATTATTTGCGAACAAAAAATTTAATTCATATACTTCTTGCTTCATGATAGACTCTTTGAAGATGCAACATCACTATATCGCCTTTTTACCCTCTTCCCTTTCATAACCTTTCTCTTGTAGGCGCTCGTATTCTTTTCTATTTTGGAGCACTACAGACACTCATCTTTTTACAAATGAACCTAGTGGCGCCTCCATGATAAAAAGACCAGACCGGTTCCAGAAATAAACTCTTTATGTTCCTCTTGTGGTATCCTATTTTCACCTTCGCTTTTATGGTAACGTGTCAACATGGATCTCGTTTGGGCACTTAACCCTGTAACACCTAAGAGTGACTATGATGTAATTTCTCCACACATTATCATCCCTGAGTCAAACATTAGGGTCACAAGGATAACGTCAATGATCCCCAACCGAAAAAGCTCTTCATTGTTTTTTTAAATTCTTCCTTATCAGCACAATTGTATAGAGAACAGCATGGAGAATATTTATAATGATGTTAGGGTATGAAAGGTTAAATTTATCTCCTTGCTTCACATCGTTGAGGTGCATGTCAGGGTCAAGTTATACAAACTTTGATGGCCACCTTTGAATAGCGCGATGGTGCTATCATTCAGCCGAAATTCCTTTTTGGATTAACCGTTTATATTTATATTACTATTGTTATTATTATTATTTATATTAGTCCTATTGCTTTGTAATCATCATCACTATTGCAGTTGCTATTATAGCTGCTTTTGTTGTTTCGGGTGTGATTGTTTATATTGTGGCTAACACCGTCTTTATCATCATCATTATTTTGTTTTGGTCTAAATAACTAGTATTCCCTCGGTCTCATGAGCAAAAAAACTCATTTGCATACTGAAACAAAAATTAAAAGCATGGGACTTATGGCAACCGTAACAACAGAGTGTAAAAAACGAAAGTCTATCATTGTTTTGCAGGTACTTATTCAAGAGACTGGGGAGAGGCGTATTGCGGCTCTGGGTGCTGTGCATGAGTCGCACGACTGTCATAAAATGCCTGGCCGGTATAGTGGAACAGTCGGTTACCACATAGACGAGGGCAAAATATTTGAAACTGGCTTCCATGAGCTGGGAAGAGAAGTCGAAGGTATAGGTTACTTTGACGATGGGTGTACGATATCTGCCACAAAGATCTGTTGGCGCTTGGAAACATAATCAAAGTCTTACCGTCCTTCTGAGGGCGACCTTGCGACAGTAGGTTTCTGTTTTCCAAAGAAAAAGATTCAGAAGAAGATACTAAGAGGCTGGACGGAGGAAAACAAAGAAGATTTTCATCACCTCAGTAGTTGTTCGAGAAAATTTATTCAGCTTAGTGCAATCTAAATTTGTGTGAATCCCTGTGCCTTTCTTAAAATTCCTCAAGTCTCGAATGAAGATAGCAACAGAAGAGATTTTTTTATCTTATACTTAGATTAATATTTCTCTCGAATGTAAGCGCGAGGCGGGCACGAAGGGCGAGTCACACGCGAGGAGAGAAATTTACATCTGTGCAACTGATGCATATGTGATCCCTGTGAACAAAATGATCCTCAAGTTTGAACTGCAATGGACCCGGGACATTTCGAATTGATCGGCGTATAAGATCATATAGGGGGTATTTACGTAGACTATAGTTGGCGAAGTCCGTTATACCAGTCGAAAAAATAATCAGCCGCAGAACTCTGGGAGTGAGGTGCAGCGCGCTGACATCTTTTTTTTTCTCATTGGTTTTTTTTTTTTTTTTTACCCCCGAAATGGACTTCGGCGTTTCTTTCACAGTCTGATACGTGTCAATTAGAGAGGAAAAAGAAAGGGCGCCTGTACACTTTTGAATAAATTGTTTATTTATTTCTTGGTCACCCATGGGAATTAAAGGTTCCAGATTGGTTTTCTCTCTTAACTTATATTTCTTGGAATAAATGGGCTTAAATTTTTTTTTCGTGGAGAGGTGTTGATCTTCATAATTTGCAATAGTAAACCTTGTAGAATACGTTAAACTCATCAATCTTTGTCTCCTTGTCTAGGCTTCGCCTTATTTAAATTTATTTTTGAACTTGAAAATATCTGGTTTTTGTAAAAGATGAGAATGTTCTTTAGCATTTGCAAAGAGTAGTTTTATGAGAAGATGTACACGAATTGTACACGCATTCTGACTGGTTATTGCCTATGACCTATTGGAGGACAGACGCATAGAAGACCTATAAGTAGATTACTAGCAAGATCATCGAGGAGCCCTTCCGTTTACCCTGGAAGATGATGACAAGTTCCTTGGCCCCCACATCGCAAGTTTACCCCCTCCCCGACAAGTTTGCGACGACTAACACGAGTTTGTTCCCAATGCTTTTAAAAGTCCTTTGTTCTTGGCTAAAAATATTCTTCGTAATCAAGCATGTTGTGTAAGTTACAGAGGAAAGACCCCACGTTATCTTACAACATTGGAGATTTCACTGCCCTCAATGGATCACAATCTTACGCATATGCAAATGAAATGTTGGAAACGGAAAGATACCGATTCCTCTTCTATGCAAATAAACCTCCCAAAATTCAACAATTTACCTACGTGTGGCGTCACTGAGAAAAAATACAGCCGGTATTCCAAAGATATCTTGTTTGCTCTTGTTTAATTTTGCCCTGTTCTCACCGCGCCTTCTTTCACAAGCTTCCGCCTAATTAAAAAAATTTTTCATATCATGAAAACCTTGCCGATCCGACGAAGAAATATCTATTTTGTTAATTGTTTGATTAATTTGTTTTTCTTTACCAAATTTGTTTCTCATTACCAAAATAAAACGTGATCAACTTGGCTATTTTCTAAGGCTACGCTGCTGATATGACCTGTTTTTCAAATATATGCGTGCTCTTATGTGCCTCTAGAGGCATATTTGAGATTTTGTGGTGAACAATGCTAAAAAAAAAAAAAAAAAAAAAAAAAATCTTGAAGGATACTTATCTCTAGCATGTGAAGAATTCACTTCCGCAGTGAGGCCTGTTGCAAATTGACAAATCACCGTTGAAAATTTTTTGTGCGTGTGTGCGTTAATTTTTGTAGTCACTCATCGTAAACAGGTTGAGGAGAGAAAAGTAGACGCCAATCGATTCTTCGCCACAACTGCTATTTTGTAGAACTCCATTCCAGCATATAATCCGTAAGGACTTTCAGCCGTCTTGCGCAGGAAGATAATGGCCAACTTTGGGAATAGGTAAGTAGTGCTTGTCAACATTTTTATTGAATTATTATGTCGCAGTAAGTTCTCATTTGCGGCTAGCGTGATTTCTTGAACTTAGGAGAGATTGTTATTTGTGCGAAACATCTCAGATTACATGGGTTTCCCATCTGGAGTTGATTCGACTAAGCTCTGTTCTCTTATCGAACAGTAGACTCGAGGTGATGAATTGCGGAAAACTTTATGCAAATGCATTTTCACCGAGATTGACGTTGAAGTGAGTTACAGCATAAGAAAGAAAACTTTGCTGAGGTCTTAATTTCATTCAAAATTAATTCACTTAAAGAAATCCTGGCCTTAGTTCTGAGTGCGTCTTTTCTTTTGGTCCTGATTTGGCGAAGGCAGTTTTAAAGCATGTTTGTGCAAGATTTCCGTTTAGCCCGTCACTCGTCTATGCACATTTTTCTTTGTTAAGAAACGAGAAACAATAACGACTCAGTCGATTTCCTCTCGGAATGCGGCTCTGTTTGCGGTTTTTGATCCGTTTCTTTTATTCACAGGCACGTTACTTCAAAAATGCATCGCTTGTTATCTGACCGCTTTCTTTGTAGAAAAGAACCCGATTTAGCGAGTTTTCCATTTTTAAAGCTTCGGCTTATGTCGTTAGGTGAGGTATTTTTTATTGAGAATTTGACTTATTTTTGGCCATGACTCTTTTGTCTGTTTCTCGTTCTTAAAGCGTCGTGAAGCATGAAGCTTATATCATTAATGCATTTCAAGTAAACAACATATCATTCCCGAATGTACTTAAACATTATAATGTCATTTTGTGATTTACAGTCGAAGCTGCATTAAGCGCTGCCGTATTATGCGGTCATCCCGTATTAAGCGGTCAGTTGTCCCGAATTTGTTTACCCATAAACAGTAACTTTTAATCCCAAAATCAAAGAAGTGAGATCAAAGTTGTACAATTAAAGAGCGAGATTCTGTGTATTAAGTGGTCAATTATGGCATAAAGTGGCGTTGTTTATCGATCTTTATAATAAACCTAATCCGTGGAACCTATATCAAGCGGTCACCTCGCCATTCCCCGTGTTGTTGTTCTGTAAAGCCTGGTTTTCACTTGCGACGCGAGCATAAGCGCAAGCGCAAATGAAGCATAACTACTCTTATTTCACCGTGAAAACGGCCTTGGTGCACACATTAAGACAAGCGCTTGCATAGGCGCAAGAATCAGAATTTTTCCCTTTTCTTGAACTAGTGCTTGTGCTTGTCGACGTTCGTTTTCACTTTGTAAATTTAACTTATGCGTGCGTTTGTGCTCACGCTTGTGCTTGCTTCGCTAATGAAAACCAAGCTTTACGCCATTGGTAACCGGAATACCTGATTACTGATTCCACGGGGTAAATTGTGCTTTAGATCTAATGCACTAGAGGAAGTAGAGCTGTCAATAACTTCTAAAGAAGTACTGGTAGCAATTGACGAGGAGCCTGTGCCCACCGCGGTTGCAGTTGATGAGGATCAGGTCGAGGAGGAAATTTCAGCTGGTTTTGGTATGTATGATCACAGAGAGTCCTCTAGGGATTCATAATAGCGTGCCTTAATTCATTATTGATCTACCTGTTAAAAAATTTTGTGGATACAGTCAGTTTGGTTTGTCTTGAATGCCACAGATATTAACTAAACGATTGGGTTGGGCTGGTGAGGAGGATAATCACCACAAAAAAAAAGGCTCCAGAAGTTTACTCGGTATGCAACTGACTCCCTTATAAAGCTTAAGTTAACGCCATTTTCAGCGGATCTGCACTGGGCTTGGTTTTTGTGGTCAATGCACGCATTTTGGCTTCTTATTGTCAATGTGTTGGACTAAGGACTAGAAAAAGCCTTGCACACCGTTTTTTTTTTGTGACTGGAAAAAAAAATTGAATTATATCATATCATGTCTTCACGATACTCGTTTTCTATGCCTTGCGTTTCCAACTGGTTGAATTAGATTCTTTGTTTGAGTCAAAGCTCACCGGGAAAGTAATTTGCCATCTCTTCGTCAAGGAGTACGGTGACCAATGATTTCATTCTCATTTTTATTTCCGTAGAGGAAAAGCTCATTTCTACAAGCAACAACTGCACAGAATTATGTGATGAACTCAATTAACTCGGCGGCTGTTAGTGGCTGTTGCCGACGATCTCGCATAGTTTATCTCAAATAACTTGTTTTGCCTCCACTTCGGCAAATATAGTGCACAGTTTGACAACTGTTGCAATTCTTTTTCAGAATAAGTTTATTAGTAGCGATGTGGACAGCGTCTGTGTCTGTTCTCTGATAGATGATAAGAAAACTAATCAAAATGTGTGAACGACCAAGCGTATTCCTACTTATAGATAAACAATGGCGTCTAAATTTGGTTAAAAAACGAAAAAATAAACATCAGCGACATACTCATGCGTCTTTACCTCATGTGTTGCCTTTTTTTCGTTCTACCACATTTTGACATCACTTATGATGTACCTTTGTCTGAAAAAACACATAGCAAAATTTGTTATAAATTTCCTTTCTATCATCTATCTGTAGAACCAGAGGACGAGCATGGGGGTATTGATGCTTCTACTCAACAACTGCAACGTGAAGGTAAGTGGAAGAGGGCATCAAGAAAGACATAAACACAAGACGAAAATAAACAGACTCTTAAAACAATAGTGTAATTGTGTTACAAAGTCAACGTGCATTCATTTCGTCTATTCAAAGTCTTTTCCTTCCCCGAAGACTGTTCATCACATGAGAAACGAGGGCCACATTGAGAGGGTGGTGGAATTCAAACTTACTTCTTTTTCGGTGGTTGTTTAATTGAAAAATGTCCATACTTGTGAATCGGCATTCTTGCGTGTGTCTGATTGTTTTATAGAAACAGAGGAGGATCTGGATAATGCTCTTCGTAAGGGTGATTTCGATGCGATTAATCAAACGTTGACTCCAAAAACCCTGGCAAGGTGTAAAACTAATTCCTTACTCAAATCTCTTCAGGTTGGTCTTGTAATTTTATATTTACCAATTTTACCGATATACTTTACTTTAGGCTGTTTCGCCAGACTAGGTGAAAAATGTAATCCTTATTCACTGTGGTTTTGTTTCACCACTCCACATGATTAGCTCGTCAGACGCATACCACTCTCTCAACTGATTAGCGTCAAAACTATAACCAGTCGTAACTTCTTCACTGTCCGAGAGTGTCCTTGTATCTTTATCACCCTTAAAGGATCACTGGCTTGCAGTTATATCTTGTTTTTGTTCTTACTGGTCATCGAGGTCTCTGTGTGCTAATTTACGACAGAAAATTTAAAAAACTCTCTTACCATGTGCAACAATTGGAGGCTAACAAGAGATCAGAAACAATATCATTGATTTTTACAAGCCATTTGATAAAGAAGATAACTTCATTTCTTTTTAAACTTAGGTAAACAAAGCACTGCGAGATTTAATACATGGTGCGAACCCGGAGAAAGACGATATAGAACAGCTAGAAAAATCTATAGGCGAGTTCGCAGCAGCCTTGATAGATCCTCTTAAAGCCGACGACGATACCAGAAATACATTTCAAAGTTGTTTTGATGATGTGGTGGACAAGGCAATTGACACAAAGCAGAAGAAGGTACTACATAAGTGATAAAAAAGGTTTCTAATGAATAGTTTCTGATATCCTTCAGCCCTAAAGTCGATTTTAGTGGGAATGCTGTCGCCCATCTGATCACATAGGTGCCCTTACCTTTACATGCAGTGTAAGTAAGGAAAGAAGAAAGACACTTAACATTATTATATGCCTAGACTTTCAGTCAACAAAACGAGCACGAGGATCGATTCTATATTCGTTTCTTCAACCGCAGCGCGCACATATGATCTTTGTATGTTTACAGCCATTATTCACCACTTCGAAGGTTTATTTGGATCCAACATAATAACCAGCTCTCAGTTGGCTTGTTAGGTAGAGCGCTGCACCAGTATCGCAGAGGTCATGGGTTCAAATCCCGTACGGGCCTGAATTTTTTTTTCAGTCTTTATTTCAACTACTAGTTCAGTGGTGTTCATAACCGCGAGGATCGATTCTATATTCGAGCACTGTGATTGGTTGATTCTTGGTCACGAGCCCTTGATTAAATTCAAATGTATCCCGACCGGGATACAATTGCGCAGTTGTTGCTCGCGCGCCGAATACAACAGCATGTTTTTGCCACATGATTGTTTAAAGGAAAGTCTAAATATGTAACAAAGCACTTAATATATGGTCCCTCGGGAAACTAGTTAGTTTTGTTTTCCCTCGAGTCCTGATGTTTCCCGAGACTTCAAAACTAACTGTTTCCCGAGGGACTTTACATTAAGTGAATAATGCTCCCACCAAACACCACCACTGAAGCTTCCTCGCCGGTGTGATATTACGAAGGGGAAAAGATACTTTTAAGATTTATGCATACAATATTACGATATACTTGGTGCCAATCAAATGTACAGGACGTCATTTTTATGTCTCTCTACTTTATGTTCAAAGAGGCAATTAATCAATTTCCAGTGAAAGAAACTATATTCTAGTGAATCTACTGAATGATGTGAGGCCAAACTGAATGATTTAAAGACACTGAACACACCCACAGCTCGACGCCATCGCCAATCCAGCCAAAAGTTATTTTCTACCTTAAATTGTCTTAATTTTTCTTCTAAAAAATCTTTCACATCCTTGCTTTAGCAGTTCTCTTCTGTTGTAGGTCACAGATGACGTAAAAATGTGGTAAGAACAAAATGGTGGCACATGATGCGTGGTCGGGTGTGTCACTGATATGTCGCTAGAATTGTTTTGAATTTAATGAAGCCAAACTTTGTTCATGCTTGAACTTTGTTCGTCCCCTCTGAGATTCTCCTCTGATAAGTAATAAGCATGAACCAATTCAAATTCAACTTATTGTGTAAAACAATTTATCCACGAATTTTTTCGCAGTTCATCTTTCACCCAGTGGTGTATAACTTGCTTAACTCCAGATGGTACCGCTCCTTTTTTCACGTAAGAAAAGAATCATGGCGGACACCTAAACGCTGGGGATACTTTTTTCTCAACCTCTGGACAGTGTTTGACATCTTCTTTTTTCCCTTTCTCTTTGCCATTTTCTTCGTCGTGCATTTGGTAAAACGGGCCTTGAGTAGGAAAAGAGGTTTGTAATATCGTTTTGTTAGCATTCGTTAAAGTAGTTGACATGGTACAGTAGATGGTAACGCGTTTTTAGTAAGCTCTCAGGTATTCCAAAGGTTTGGGCCTGGAGGGGGTGAGGGGTGGGGCGCAGAAGGTGATGGCTTTTCTGTAGTTTATTTCTAACTCTAACAAACTGAGTCCTCTCAATTGAAAAAATGCAGAAATCCTTTGTAAGGCTATGCGCGAAGCGCGGGTCACGCATTTTTCTTCCCTGGCACGTGAAACGCGCACCATGCTTGCCTCGTGCTTGCAAAAAAACTAAGCCTGTTTTGCAGGCTACATCGTTCAAGGAGCGTTTACAGGCCTGGTATTTGTTCCCGCCTGATCATAATAGTCTTAAGAATGGTTGAGATTGCTAAGTCTTGAGATTAGATACAAGCAGCTACTGGAGAGTTGTTGTGGTGCATGGTACCAGTTGTTGCATATTTCCTTTATCGATCAGTGGTTTAATCCGCTTTCCTTGATCATTTTTCAGAAACTGAAATATGTTTTGTTTTGACGCTGGGCAAAGATACCTCAGAAGAAGAATTTAATCTGGTTAAAGGGACGATAAACTACATTGTTCGTGAATATGGCTGCCACTCTGCCAAATACTGTGTTGTTTTACATAAAGACCACGAAAGAATCGGTAACATCAACTTTAAAGAGAGGTGCACTACTGAGGCTGCACTTCGAGTGAGGATTAACGCGTTAGAGCTGCCAAGCTCTGCCAGTTCACTCGTTGAAGATCTTGTGGCCACCCAAAGTGTTTTCATGGACCAAACACTTGGGAAGGAGGCCAAAAAGGTGAGGTATACGTGCGCGCAACCGTTTTCCGGAGCGCTGTCAAGTTTTGCCTCTTAACTTGTTTCCATGGGCTCATTTTGCAGTCATGGGCTGGTTATCAGACCTTGGTAAGTTATTCCTACCAATTCATATTCAATCTTGATTTAATTTGACGACCACACGCTACAGTTGATTTATGTTTAAATCATAAATACAAATCATGTTTTAGTTAGTGTCATGGCTCATGGGCCGGCCTCTTGCATTTGCCCTCTTGCTGAAGAACTCAGGCTTTCCCCTCTCGCTTCAAGCTTTTAAACTCGCTGTTACGCCGAATAATCAAGCTTTCATTCTCTTTCTCTGTCAGATATCAGCAAGAGAAAAACATGTCCCACTATTTTCCTTAGGTTTCAGTAAATAGCAATAACCTTTACAAGATTGCTATTGGCTCGTAATCTTACCGTCTTTCTTGAGAACTATTGTGTAAAACTCCTCGGAAATTTTGTTCAGGACCTCTGGTACGTCTCTTTTGAGAAATTTGTCTTTTAAGTCCCAAAACTTCCAGACTTTTAGCCGGATGTTTGTGCTTTTTGAGGTATCTTTGTTGTGAGTATTCTCCTGTAAACTCTGAACTAAAACGTGGTTACTTTCCAATAACCTGTCCGCCATTTTGTTCTGCTGTGCTTTCGCGACTTTCTTGACAATCGATTTAATTTCAACTTTCTGCAATCCATTTCACTTTTTGCATTCAGTTTCAACTCTCTGCACAGTTTGGGTTAATTGACGCCTTCTCAGCCAATGAGCATGCTGAAATTTTTGCATTACATGTACATAACAGCTACAGTTATTAGTTGTGTGAACAGATTAATTAAACGGCGAAATAAACAAAACCATCACTAACTTATGCAATAGTTCCAGTAGTTAAGATACTTACAAGCACATCAGCAATATTCACTGTCGAATCCAATCATTGTCGTTGAAAGTGTTTGTTTTTTCACTGAAAAAAATTCAAGCATCTCTTTCATAAGAAGGCTGGTGTAGTTTCAAGATTGGTAAGTTTGGGCTCATATTTGATAAAACTTGTAAATTTGGTTTTGAGAACCAAAGGGATAAATATCACCTTTTTTTAATTTTATGTTTACATTAGGTGGTCGTGCTCTTTCTTAATTACTCGTTACACAAGGTTATGGCTGACACCGAAAGACCACCGCCCTTAGTAGAGGAGATACAGGGTATGCAAGTTAACATCTTTCCCGTCGGAATCGGGGAGAACGCCAAATTATCAGAGTTAAATAAGATGGCAAGTAAAGGTAGCACAGCACGCCACTTTGGAGAATACGAGTCACCCGAGACGTTGGGGACAGCTGTCATACAAGGTAACCTGGGGAGGTTTAAAGTTATGATTTTAAAAAACCCTTCTTAGAACGATTATTCTCCCATTTGGTTTGGGAAAAAATAAGAAAGTATTGCATGCAGTTGTTACAGTTCGAATTGAGGAAGGTTTTAAACGGTGCTATATTCAAAAAAGCTTTAACTTTTCTCCCCACTGCTCGGAGGTGTAATTAGCTTTATAATTGATATGTTTTACTTTCTTACAGGTATCGAGGGAAAGAACATCTATGGTGAGGACGGGCTATTTTTGGTAGCTAGATTTCCAAAGACCGTTAAACTTTTTTTTTCTGATGATTTTTGCTAAAACGTCAGTGCTTTCAGAGTTTTCTTTTGATGGTCTCCATTCTATGCTAGCGTCTCAATCATTGTCCTACCGAGTGTAACTATGATTACTATGATGTCTTCCAGAGAAATACAAGGATTACTTTACGACTCCTTATTTCATCTTTTTCCGCGACACGCTGAGCTATCTCACCCTCCTTGGTCTTCACTTCGCCATTTGCCTGTTCCCTTCATCTGTTGCCTTCAGTCAACTAGAATGGGCCATTTTAGTTTTCTTCTTGGGACGCGTTGTGATGGAGGTGGATCAGTTTATTAGTGCTAAGGAGGCTGGAATGAAAGCACAAAAGCTGTGGAGGAGGAATAGGGGTGGCTCCAGCTACCAAGTACGTTCACATGAGGGTCACCAAGAGACAAATGAGGCAGAAGAAGACAATATCCTGCGAAAGAAGCTTAGTAATTATTTCAGGTATTTTAGATTTTTTTTGTCCGTTTTCTAGTGACAATAGTAGATTCTCATTCATATGGGAGTATGATCAGCTAGGAAGGATGGGGAAAAAGAGTTTACAGCTTGAAGAAGGTAACAAAATGAGCCACTGTTCTCAGCTTAGGTGCACTGGTCATTTTTTGAGGGCTACACCATCAATCATGAGGTGACATTGTTCACTGCCTTTGTTCATCGATAGAAACCGGTGTTTATTGTTTTAGTACATCAGTAGTTAGCTCGTACCCATTGTAACAACAAATAGTGGTACATGCAAGAACTGATTATCTTGCTTCATAATTGTGCAAGGTCTAGCTGTTCACGGATTACATTAAATGTATAATGGTCTTCTAGTACTGATATCTACTACTTTTTTAGTGACCGTTGGAATGTGCTTGACTTCATCATTCTTGTTTTCTACCTGATTACCTTCATACTACGCATAATTACATTGAGGAACTCCACGGACGTGTCAGACAACAGAATCTTGGCTGTGTCAGAGTATTTCTATGGATTTATTGCCATGTTTCTCACGCTGAGAGCCTTTGGTCAAGTCATAGAGGGCGTGCGGGGAGTGGGTGCAATACAAATCGCTTTGTTCTTTGTTATCTGGGATGTAATGGCGATATTTTGGCAGTTTTTGGCAATTATTCTGGCATTTTCTCTGGCTATGACCAAGATATATGTTGCTGAGAAGGCCTCTACCTTAGGAAAAGATTCCGCGGAGGATTTGTGAGTACATGTTGCGATTTTTCTCAATCATCGAAACCGTGAACGACAGATTCTAAATTGTTGGTCTCTTCATTTGTTACTCTTTTTAGTGATGGGGTGGAAGAGCTTTCCTTTAACGTTATGGAGGGAAACCTCATGTCTGTCTAGGCACCCACTGTAGGAAACAGTGGGCCATGGGAAGCCTAACAGGAGAGTAAAACTACTCAGATCAGAATATGAAACGTTGCATGAAAGACCAATTTTTTACAGTCTTTATGAATATTCACGCAGGAAATTTCAGAAACAGGCCTCAATAAATAAGTCAGTGCGTAGCGCAACCACTACACAAAAGGTTTAAGATCAAATTATGATAGCCTGTAACCCATTAATTATAATCATCGCTGGGTCAGTCGAAGTCATAAATTGTGAGGTCAGTGAGTTGCTATACACTGACTTTTGGTGCTTCTGGAAGTACAAAAATTTATGGGTCCAGGAATTTTAGTTAACAATTTCACTGGAGCAACACAACGGTGTAAAATAAAATTCGGAGGGAGGAGGAATGGTGGTGATGTAACTTTGACAATTCATGTTGGTTAAACCGTAAACTGTGGCAACGGTTTCCCTTAACCATTCATTTTCTTCTATCATTTTTAGGGCATGCAGTGATTCCGGGCTAATTTGGTAAGAGTAAAACTGTTGCGTTTTTTTTTTCTACTCTAATTTTAACTTTGTACTCTGATGTCTGAAATATACCAGGTTACACGAAATTTTTGCTATACTTGAATTATTTAAAAAACTTTCAAGCGTGAAATTCTATACCTGAGGCGTCGGAAAAGTGAATTAAGGTCTCCCGAGAGAAAAAAAGGGGGAAAAAACCATACTGATGTGTTAAAATAAGTACTGTTGTTCAACCACGAGCTTTACCAGCTTCATCATAAAAATTTACAGGGAAGACGCTCTTTCCTTTCATGGCAGCAGATTTACTAGAACAATAAGCAGAGCTGCGAGTGAAGAAACCCTCTTTGCTCCCCATCCCTCTCGCGGCTTCCCTTCCAGTTAATTAACGCTACTTCGCCAACTAATTATAAACCTGTTGAAAGGCCAGCCCAGCTATTAGTTTACCTTCTTAAGAGGTACCTTACGGTTTCTCCTTCTGGAAAAATCCAGACTTTAACGTTGCTATTTCTTTTGACTAGTGATATCCCTCAGGTTTAAGGTTATCTTGTAATATTTTAGATACCAACACGTAAATGTGTTGATGTTTGACTTAATGGAGCTGACCAGGAATCTTGAGAACAAATTTTGTAATCGATGATCCATGTATGAGCAGTGACATGATGGTCTCTAGGACACAGACGTTTAAAAACATTTATTGCGGTCATGACGATCTCAATTTAAAAAATTGAGTGGTTTTTGCTCTAACTCGTTGCTTATGTTCTTCAGTTGGTGGAACATGGCGACACACCTTGGTTGGTCTTTACTGGGTTTAGCTGACCTGGATAGGTTGAATTCCGTCGACAATCCTTCCGTTTCCCTTGTTCATGTACTGTACAGCTTGTTTTTAATCCTGGCAGTTGTTCTTCTCGTGAACATGATGATTGCGTTGCTCTCCAACACCTATCAGCAGGTTCAGGTACTAAACAGTCTCTCAGCCTTCGCTGATGGATAGTAATTCTGTTCATAATCCAGAGTTAAGAAAATATGAGAAGTTCTCGACTGTAAACTTGGTGGAACTTTTTTTGGCGTAAGATATAAAATATATTTTCTGCAAAGTTCAAAAGATTCTATGATTATCTGTAATTGTACTTTTGGCCGACTGACGCTTTAGACGAAAATGATGGTGAATATTGTCCCGTGGGTATGATATATCAAAAATATTCTTCCGCTGAAGGAGTGTCGCCTGTTGTCTTTATTAACTGGTACTTCCTTAGAAGCTGTTAAGTCCCTCTCATTCCTATATTATCAGGATAATTCACTGCAAGAGTGGTCTTTCAAGAGAGCCATTACTGTAAGGACTTACAGCACCTATCACCCGATACCAGTGCCCTTCAACCTTTTGTCTGTCCCCCTGATAATACTCTGGAACCTATGTTGGCGCGACACTCCTGCTTCGCGCGAGGGCGGACGGGTAAGCTGCGGCCTTGCCAATTAATTCTGTGAGTTTTACCAAGCTGCTGTTCTTTAAAGTTATCGTTCACGTCTGCTCAGTGATTTTACTTCACTTTCGATGTGGCCCTCTTTGATTCGACAGAGAGTAGCTCTGAATAAAGTGGTGAAGAAACTAGAAAGGATGTACTTCGGGAAATACGGTTATGAATTTCCCCTCACAGGTGAGTGATGTGCTAGATTGGTAGATAGCCCCAGAAATCTATGATATGGTCATGAAAAAGAATATGGCGCAAAGAGATGTTTTTCTACTAAACCTTGCTTTGCTATGATCAAAGCAATAGTTCTAAAGAAGTTTATACCATGACGGACAAGAAATAAAAAAATCACAAATGAAGAATTCCAGTAATGATAATCTATTTATAACGAGGCGTATCGTAATGATTTTGCTGACTAGATTCAGAAGAGGCCAATTTAATATTTGGTTCCTCGCTTTGTTTTAGAAGGGAAAAAGATAGATCACTTGGTGCAAGAAAATGAGGGAGGACGAAAATTGGCCAATCAGATAGTTCGGCAAGTATTCCGACCGCGTGGAAACAAGGAGGAAAAACTTGCGTCTGGCCACAGAGTGAGTGTTTTTGAGGTTCACATTCACATGTTAATTAAACAGGAAGTTTCCCTACCATATACTATGGATCTTGCTCCATCAGGATACACCTTTTTAACCATTTTAATTTGCATTTTAACCTTTTCCCTCGCACAAAAATTTAAATGTACGATTGAGAAAATCTTTCAAGAAACGTTCTGCTGTAGTTTCCTTGTTCCCTTGAAAAAAACCGAGCTTGTTTTGTAGTGACATAGAAAAGCTGATCTCAAATGCTTCTCCGGGAAGTACAAAAAAATCAACAAAATTTGCTCTCGACGCGCGATACGAAAATTAATGGGAGGGTTATAGCTTGAATAAAACCCCTTCTAGCTTGCTGGTATGTCGGCTGACAATGTCCCTGGTTGAGAGATTGTCTTTAAGTTTTCAAATTTCTCCTTGAAGCTTTGGTTCTTGGCCAAATATTCATTTTTGGACAATGTCTCAGCCGCAGACATTTTCAGGTGACATACCAGCCGCCTGAAGGGGTCCATCGTGTTACTGAAGTTTTGTTTGATTGTCATTTTAAGGCGTGGTATGATTCGCCGGGAATTGCTGTCGATGGCTGTCTCCTAACTTACATGGGACCTAATTTCTGCAACATATGCAAAAGTGGAAATCGTAAGAACATTCACAGTGCCAAGTTCAAGTCTCCCTTTACACCAGAGACACCAAGATTCGAGGTGTGCTTTTGATTTATAGAAAATTATTTGCAAACAAAAAATTTAATTCATATACTTCCTGCTTCATGATAGATTCTCTAAAGATGCAACATAATTACATCGCCTTTTTACCCTCTTCTCTTAAATAACCTCCCTCTTGTTGGCGCTGGTATTCTTTTCTAATTTGTAGCACTACAGATACTAATGTTTTTCAGAATGAACTTAACGGTGCCTCCATGATAGAAAGACCAGACCGGTTCCTGAAAAACATCTTTATGTTCCTCTTGTGGTATCCTATTTTCGCCTTTGCTTTCATGGTAACGTGTCAACATGGATCTCGTTTGGGCACCTAACCCTGTAACACCTAAGAGTGACTATGATGTAATTTTTCCTCACATTATCATCCCTGAGTCGAATATTGGGTCACATGGATAAAGTAAATGACCACCAACCGAAAAAGCTCTTCATTGTTTAAATAATTCTTCCTTATCAGCACAATTGTATAGAGAACAGCATGGAGAATGTTCATAATGATGTTAGGGTATGAAAGGTTAAATTTATCTCCTTGCTCCACTTCTTTGAGGTGCATTTCAGGGTCAAGTTATAAGGCCTTAGATGGCCACCTTTGAATAGCGTGATGGTGCCTTCGTTCAGCCGAAATTCCTTTTTGGATTAATCGTTTATATTTATATTATTATTGTCGTTATTATTATTGCTTTGTAATCATCATCATTATTGCAGTTGTTATTATGGCTGCTTTTGTTGTTTATATGATCATTATTTCGGATGTTGGTTGTTTATATTATCACTAACATCGTCTTTATCATCGTTATTATTTTGCTTTGATCTAAAAAACTAGTATTCCCTCGGTCTCATGAGCAAAAAAACTCATTTGCATACTAAAACAAAAATTAAAAACATAGGACTTATGGCAACCGTAACAACAAAGTCTAAAAAAAAGAGTACATCATTGTTTTGCAGGTACTTATTCAGGAGACTGGAGAGAGACGTATTGCGGCACTGGGTGCTGTGCATGAGTCGTACGACTGTCACAAAATGCCTGGCTGGGAAAGTGGAACAGTCGGTTACCACGTAGACGATGGTAAAATATTTGAAACCGGCTTCCATGAGCTGGGAAGAGAAGTCGAAGGTATGGGTTACTCTGACGATAGGTGTACGATATCTGCCACAAGGATCTGTTGGCGCTTGGAAACATAATCAAAGTCTTACCGTCCTTCTGAGGGCGACCTTACGACAGTAGGTTTCTGTTTTCCAAAAGAAAAAAATTCAGAAATTTTCGTTTGTAAACGTTGTAGGGATCACTTTAAAATCGTTATAGACTCCTCGAGATGATTATTCTGACGTGCATGAGATAAATGGGAAATGTATTGTAGCTGTATGACCAAGATAGAATGTTGAACGTAGTTGCTGTAAAATCCATGTGCCTAGAGCGTGAAACTGAAAAAACCCTGAATCCTTCGATCGTGGGGGGTTCCAACCCTCACCTTCTGCTTGCCGATCAAATGGTCTACAGAGAACTCATTTAAGGCCAAAGAAAAACGAGATTCATATCAACAAATGCTTGACGCTGCTAGGATCATTTATATCGTCAACACTTCTTGTATAAATACAGTGAGGGAGATTAAACTTTGTCTTCGAATGAACGAGGAGGTCGGTCATTGATCAAGACCGAACAAAAAGGAAAAAAGTCCAATTTCACATCCTAGTGTTACACGGTTGGTTGCCTCATGTACTTAATGTTTTCTGTTGATAACTTAGGAGCTATGGCTTACCGCGGTGATCTCATCGCATGTGAAGTTGATTTTAGTGGAGTCCTCGAGGGCAAAGTCTCTGTGTTGTTCTCCTTGAACGGTAGAGAAGTAGTGCGTTCTTCAGTGGGGTATGCAGAGGGAAATAAACTATTTCCTTTCGTTTCATTGGGATCTGAAGGCATTACAGTGCTCACCAAGGTATGTTCGAAAGAAGGAGGGGGGAGCGGGGAGCGGGGAGCGGGGAGCGGGGAGGGGGAGGGGGGAGCAGGGAGGGGGAGGGAGAGGGTAATGAGCTAGAAATTGAATCTATAAATGGTTTGGTTTCATGCTAACATATCACGCCTCGGCACACTCCTCCTGTTACAGTCGAGGGATTGGTCATGAGACCAAATTATAAGCATGTGGCGAGGAAGAACTTTGTCGTACCCAGTGTTGAAAAGACCACTAAAATTTTGTTCAAGTTTGAGTAATTTAAATGTTTGCGAACATTTACAAACTATCCAACCTTTTTACCAAAAGGCTGTGCCCTGAATGCTCTGAATGATCTCTGCAGCATATCTGTATTCCACAATGTGAAAATTAGAGCCTATAGTTGACAACTTTTGATCATCGCTGTCCTAAAATTTCTTCTTTTTTATTTTTTAATTGGAGACGTTTGACTTTTGCACGTTTTAGATGTGCCATCCCGACAGAGACCAGTTTAGTAGAGTGACAAATGAAGACCTTCAGAAGGAAATTGGAGATCTGCGACGTGATTTTCAGGATCAACTAGACAAGCAAAGGAGGATGTTAATGTCAGAAATGAGAGATTTAGTACTGCGTTTGAAGGAAGTAAAGGATAAAGAAGAACATGAAGAAGATACTAAGAGGCTGGACGGAGGAAAACAAAGAAGATTTTCATCTCCTCAGTAGTTGTTCGAGAACATTTTTTCAGCTTGGGTGCAATCTAAATTTGTGTGAATCCCTGTACCTTTCTTAAACTTCCTCTAGTCTCGAATGAAGATAGCAGCAGAAGAAATTTTTTTTTATCTAATACTAGACTAATATTTTTATCGAATGTAAGCGCGAGGCGGGCACGAATGGCGAGTCACACGCAAGGAGAGAAATATACATCTGAGCAACTGATACATATGTGATCCCGGTGAATAAAATGATCCTCAAGTATGCACTGCAATGAACCCGGGAAATTTCGAATTGATCGGCGCATAACATCATATAGGGGGTATTTACGTAGACTATAGTTGGTGAGGTCCGTTATACCAGTCGAAGAAAAAATCAGCCGCAGAACTCTGGGAGTTAGGTGCAGCGCGCTGACATCTTAATTATTATTTTTTTTCTCATTGTTTTCTATTTTATCCCCGTAACAGACTTCGGTGTATCTGTCATAGTCTGTGTGTCAATTAGAAAAAAAAAGGAAAAAGGAAGAGCGCATGTACACTTTTGAATAAATTGTATTGATGCTGTAAGGAGAAATTATCTCTTGGTCATCCATGGGAATTAAAGGTTCCATATTGGTTTCCTCTCTTACCTGATATTTCTTGGAATAAATGGGCTTAAATAGGTTTTTTTTTCGTGGAGAAGTGTTGGTCTTCATAATTTGCAATAGTAAACCTTGTAAAATATGTCAATCAATCTTTTCTTTTTGTCTAGGTTTAGCCTTAATGAATGGTTTAGTAAAAAATTGTATTACATAGTAACTCTGATGGCGTACAAACTCCCAAGAAAATAAAAGTCTTGACTGACCAGGATATTTTTGAAGAAAGAGTTGTTTGAAGAGTATGATTGACAACTCATTTTCGCAGGTGGAACTAAAGATGCTGGTAAATTAGGAATAAGTTGTTAAACAACAGGGGAATGCAAACCCACGCAATTTTATTGAAAAGACTTTCAATAATGTCACGTGAACGTTATATAAAGCAACAATAATCACTAGTGAGTTTCAAATTTCTAAAAAACATAAATCATGTTGTAAGCAATTATAAATATCTAATTTGAAGAGATACTCTTTCGCTAAGTCTGACTCAGCAACATTTAATTAGCTTTTATGAATATTTTAATATGGAAGGTAGCCAGAAAGTAAAAATAGTTTGGACTGGCCGTTGTTGTTCATATTTTTCTTGGCAAATGGTGAAAAGAATTAGGAGCAAATTGCGACAATTACTCTCTTCGTTTTGTAGCAGCATATATAAAATAGCTTAATTGCTCCTACTTTTGTTCCACAGTCATATCCAGCATGTCTAGATTTATACTTTTGCGTATCAGACACTTGTTCCCTTTGTAGCCGTTTTTGCGACGTCATGCAACTGATGCACGTTGCGTGACATCCCAGAAAAGGCTGCGAGATATACCGGTATTCGGCAGTTTCATTTAATCATTCACGAAAGTATTATGTGGATACCTAGTTCAACTTTATTTTCGAACTTAAAAAATATCTGGCTTTGTAAAAGATGAGGAGGTTCCTTAGTATTTGCAAAGAGTAATTTTGTGAGAGGATGAATTGTTTACGCATTCAGATTGGTTCTCGCCTATGATCTATTGGAGGACAGACGTGTAGAAGATCTATGAGCAGTTTATTAGCAAGATCATCTGGGAGCCCTTCCGTTTACCCTGAAAGATGATAACCGGTTCCTAGTCCCCCACATTGCAAGTTTACCCCCTCCCCGACGAGTTCGCGACGACTAGCACGAGTTTGCTCCCAAATGCTTTTTAAAAATCCTTCACTCTTGGCAAAAAATATTCTTCGTGAAGAGGCATGTTGTGTAAGACTCGGAGGAAAGACCCCACGTTATCCGAAAACATTGGAGATTTCGCTACCTTCAATGGATCACAATCTTCCGCCTATGCTAAGGAAATGTTGAAAACAGAAAGATACCGATTCCTCTTCTATGCGAAGAAACCTCCCAAAATTCAACAATTTACCCACGTGCAGCGTCACTGAGAAAAAATAAGGCCAATATTCCAAAAATATCTTATTTGCTCTTATTTAATTTTGCCCAGTTCTCACCGCGCCTTCTTTCACAAGTTTCAGACCAACTCAAATCAAATATTTATACCATGAAAATCTTGCTGGTCCGGCGAAGAAATATCCATTTTGTTAAATGTGTTATGACAGCTGTACTGACTACTTGTGTGCACTACCGAAAAAAAACGTGAACAACTTCGCTATTTTCTAAGACTACGGCTTCCTGGGGAATAATTATTTTTGTAACCTAGAAAATAACAAAAAAGGAAAAGATCTGCATTAAGAGTATATTCGTTGATGAAAATAGTCGGAGAACAAAACCAACGGAGATACTGACGGAATTCGAAAACTTCTATTCTAAACTTTACAAGGAAAATTCACTTACTTTGGGTGATTCTATGAATAACTTTCTTAATGGAGCGAACAATGGCAAACAGTATTTATCTAAAAAGTTCAATCGAATTTAATCGTTCAGGCAAAACAAAACATCAGGAAATGATGGCCCAACTTCCGAATTTTACTTACCGTTTGGAAGTCTTTTGGAAAATCATTTCATAGACTCTTTACACTTCTCCCATGTTCATGATCAACTCTATTCTTCTCAGAGACGAGTATTGGTGATTGTTTTGGGAAAAAAAAAGATTAGAATAGTCGTTTGATCCAAAATTGGCGCCCTATCTCACTAACAAATGTCGATTTGAGAATAGTTTCAGAAGCCTTACTAAGGGGCTCGAACTTTTTCTCACCGAAATTATTCATTACAACCAAAATTGATTTGTGAAATGACGGTCTGTGTTTGATGCATTGTGGACCATCGGGGATAGTTTGGGAATGAAAAATAGCTCTGGGATCCTGGTTGTTATCAAATTTGAAAAAGCAAATGATTCTGTTGCCCATGATTTTCTATTTAAAGTTTCGGAAAAATTTAACTTTGGATCGTATTTCAAGCAGTGGATAAGAACCTTTTATACAGATATATCAAGTTATGTTATGAATAACGGTTTCAGTTACAAACTCTCCTTTGTACAGAGCATAGGGTTCTTCAAGTTGATCCTCTCTTACATTTCTTTTTTATTATGGACCTGAAAATTTTTGTGTGTTAAATTAGACAGGATAACAATATGGAAGGAATAAAAATTTACCTGCATTCGCTGATGATATGACCAGTTTTTCAAAGATATGCGTGCACTTATGTGCGGCTGTTTACGTGTCTAGAGTTATTTTTAAGATTTTCAGGTAATCAATGTAAAAAAAAAAGCAGCGGTGAAAGAATGTTTATCTCTAGCATGTGAATAATTCACTTGCGAAGTGAGGCTTGCTACAAATTGACCAATCACCGTCAAGATTTTTGTGCACTTCAACCTTGATCTGCTACGTGTGTGCGTTAATTTTTGTAATCACTCATTGTAGACAGGTTGAGGAAGGAAAACTAGAAGCCAATCGATTCTTAGTTACAGCTGCTATTTTGTAGTACTCCATTCCAGCACATAATCCGTAAGGACTTTCAGCCGTCTTGCGCAGGAAGATAATGGCCGACCTTGGGAAGAAGTAAGTAATGATTGTCAACACTGTTTTCATTAAATTATTACATCACAACGTGTTCTAATTTGTTGCTAGCGTGATGTCTTGAACTCAGTAGAGACTGTTAGTTGTGTGGAACATCACAGATTAAACGGGTTTCCCATCCGGAGTTCATTCGACTTAGCTCTGTTCTGCTATCGAACAATAGACTCCAGGTGTTGAATTGCGGAAACGTTTATGCAAATGTATTTTGACTAAGATTGACTTTGAAATAAGTTACCACATGAGAAACAAAACTTTGTTGAGGTCTTATATTCTTTCAAAATTAATTCACATCAAGAAATCCTGGTCTTCGCTCTGAAAGCGTTTTTTCTTTCGGTCCTGATTTGGCGAAGGTAGTTTTAAAGCATGTTTGAGCAGGATTTCCCGTTACTCATTATGCACACTTTTCTTTGTTAAAAAACAAGAAACGATAGCGACGTAGTTGATTTCCTTTCGGAATGCGGCTCTGTTTGCAGTTTTTGATTTGTTCCCTTTATCCACAGGCGGCCCAAGCTTCAGCTGTAAGATAATCAATAAAAAAATTTGAATGTACGATTGAGAAAATCACTCAAGAAATGTTGTGCTGCAATTTCCTTCTACCCTTGAAGAAAACGAACAGTTTTGTAGTGACTAAAATAAGCTGATCTCAAATGCTGCTCCGGAAAGTACAAAAAAGTCAGCAAAATATGCTGCGATACGGAAATGAATGGGAGGGTTGTAAATTGAATAAAACCTCTTCTGGCTTGCTGGTATGTCGGCTCATTATGTCCCTGGTTGAGAGATTATCTTTCGTGTCAACATGGATCTCGTTTGGGCACTTAAGAACAAGTCTCTGTAAGAATCAAACATCTTGGGAAATGAAAATTTTAAACCCCCCTTTAAATTTTGCATGCCGTTAGGCACTCAGGGGGAATGCACAAAAATGCCCTTGTTAAAGGTCGCAGCACTCTTATTGCCATGGTAACAACGGCTGCTTGTTCGAGGCCTGAGGCCTCATTTTCATACAAAGACGTCGCAAAAAAAGAGTGAAATGTTTATTTCTCTCTCTCAAGCTAAATACAACATTACGAATTGGCACTTATACCATATATAGTAACATCATTCGTCTTCACTTTGATACATTCAATTTTCCCTGGGAGTGAATGTGAACACACCAATAGATTATTTATCTCGGTACAGTTTCGGTCATTTTTGTTGTCGGGTAAAACAGGGAAAACGTTTATCTGAATTTCTCCAAAAGTACCCCTAGAACTGAAACTACCCACCTAGCTGGTTATAATATTCTATTTTTTTAAATATTTAAAAATCTCTGCGGGCCTGCCTCTACTTTTTATAGGGGCAATTCGCGAAAAGAACTCAAAATCAGATATTGCATAATTTGGCGATGTTTACATCTAATGTTCTCAACAACAAACGTTTCAGACAAATGAAACGTGCGAGGCTTTGAAAGAATGTTATCTTATGAGAAATATCCCGAAGAGAAATCTCGCCTCTGGTTGTCATCTTTTAAAAAACAATTGATCAACCTTCATGGAGGACAACTCGACGTAACTACAAATATATACCTCAAATCGTGTGCATATCATCCAGATTCCGGGTGCTGCGCCTTCTTTCATGGGAATTTGAGGAGTCCGAAATCCTCTGAAGATACACTATTATACTTGTATGTCATTTGAAACATGTTGAAGTCGGCTGATCTACACGAAACTATCCTCACACCGGTCATTTGTCATAAACATGTACGTTATCACGATGACGTGGCGCTGTATTTCTTCGTGAAGTTTCCATCGGTCGCTCCAAAAAAGACGAGAAATGGATATTTTTTTCATATATGTCAGCAGATTTACGCTTTTTGAAGTAAAAACAACCCAAAAAAATAAAAAAAGAGGAAACTTCGATTGAAAGCTCGTAAACACTGAGAATCTGAGAGTATAAATCGTAAGTTGTTAGCGGCAGTAACTCATGTAAAACCCAGTTACAATAATAGCAATTTGAACGACATAGACATCTCCTACAAAGAACAGATTCGGGCAGTTATCATTTCCTTGCGACAGGAACTAAGATATTTCGAATCATCTGAAAACTGTCAGAAACTGTTAGAAAATTTGCGTAAGATATGATGAGGAGAGACTTATCACCGCCGTGGTGCAATCGAGTCAATCAATGTTTCCTTCCATGTCTTGATAAAGAAAAACTCATAACAATGTTCGAAATAAAAGATTTAATGAAATCATAATGTCATAATTCCACCTTTCAAACAACTTATTATCCACACGTAAATCGCAACTTGTCACTTGAATGAAACTCCCCATCGTTAATATGTAATCTGGATTGCTTCATGTCCTTCAGGAAAAAGAACAGCGATTTCATCACCATTATTTTCCATACTTTTCTCCTGGATATCTTTTACAAGCTTAAAGAAAGATGAATATAACGCAATCTCCCGGTGATTTACACGAGAGGAAGTCAAAGGTCTCTTTAATTTTCCCCTGAGGTGGCCGACTCACCAGGAAGAAAAAGGAGATCGTTCGGTCCAAATATGTTGGTCTGTAGAGATTAACAAGCTAATAACTGAGAAGATTGTGCCCTTTGATTCATCAGTGACAGCATTAATTATTTCAAATCTGTATTTCTCGGTCCAAGCGACACCAAAAATAGTTCCTTCGTAATTTTGTAAGCACTTTCTAAAGCATTTTATTGTGTAGGGAAATAAATCTCAAGGCTCAAAGCCAATATAACGTTCGAGCACGTGAAAGACTCCCTGAAAAAAGCTAAATTTTTGGAAATTTATTGTGATGAAATCCCTGTTCCGTTTGCAGTACTGCAGGGATACTGAGTAGTTCAAAATCTCCACTTTGTGATGATTTTCGCGCGAGTCGTAAAAATTGCTATTGTGGCGACTGGGTTTTACATGAAGTACTGCCGCTGACAAGTTGCGATTTCTGCTCTCAGATTCTCAGTGTTAACAAGCGTTCAATCGAAGTTTTCTTCTTTTTTTTTTTGGTTGTTTCTATTTAGAATGCGCGGAAATCTGCTGATATATCGAAAAATGTCCATTTCTCGTCTTTTCTGGAGCGACCGATGGAGACTTCATGGAGAAATACAGCGTCACGCTAACGTGACAACATACATGTTTATGACAAATGACCGGTGTGAGGATTCGTGTAGATCAGCCGACTTCAGCATGTTTTAAATGACATACAAGTATAACAGTGTATCTTCAGAGGACCTCGGATCGCTAAAATTCCCATGAAAGAGGGTGCATCACTCGGAATATGGATGATATCCACACGATTTGAGGTATATGTTTGTAGTTACGTCGAGTAGTCCTTCATGAAGGTTGATCAATTGTTTTTTAAAAGATGACAACCAGAGGCGAGATTTCTCCTCGGGATATTGCTCATAAGATAACATTCTTTGAAATCCTTGCATGTTTCATTTGTCTGAAACGTTTGTTGTTGAGAACATTAGATGTAAACGTCGCCAAATTATGCAATATCTGATTTTTGAGCTTCGTTCGCGAATTGTCCCTATAAAAAGTAGAGGCAGACCCGCAGAGATTTTTACATATTTATAAACTAGAATATTATAACCAGCTAGATGGGTAGTTTCAGTTCCAGAATCGGGGTACTTTTGGAGAAATTCAGTTAAACGTTTTCCCTGTTTTACCCGACAACAAAATTGACCGAAACTGTACCGAGATGAATATTCTATTGGTGTGTTCACATTCACTCCCAGGGAAAATTGAATAAATCAATGTGAAGACGATGATGTTACTATGTATGGTAGAAGTGCCAATTTGTAATGTTGTATTTAGCTTGAGAGAGAGAGAAATAATCATTTCACTCTTTTTTTGCGACGTTTTTGTGAGAAAATGAGGCCCCAGGCCTGGAACAAGCAGCCGTTGTTACCATGGCAACAAGAGTGCTGCGACCTTTAAAAAGAGCATTTTTGTGCATCCCTCTGAGCGCCTAACTGCATGCAAAATATGAAGGGGGGTTTAAAATTTTCATTTCCCAAGATGTTTGATCCTTACAGAGACTTGTTCTTAACCCTGTAACACCTAAGAGTGACTGACATGTAATTTCTCCACACATTATCATCCCTGAGTCAAACATTAGGGTCACAAGGATATCGTAAATGATCACCAACTCAAAAAGCTCTTCATTGTTTAAATAATTCTTCCTTGTTGGCCACCTTTGAATAGCGTGATGGTGCTATCCTTCAGCCGAAATTCCTTTTTGGATTAATCGTTCATATTTATATTACTATTGTCATTATTATTGTTTATATTAGTGCTATTGCTTTGTAATCATCATCATTACTGCAGTTGTTATCATAGCTGCTTTTGTTGTTTCGGATGTTGATTGTTTATATTGTGGCTAACACCGTCTTTATCATCGTTATTATTTTTTTGGTCTAAATAGCTAGTATTCCCTCGGTCTCATGAGCAAAAAAACTCATTTGCATACTGAAACAAAAATTAAAAGCATGGAACTTACGGCAACCGTAACAACAGAGTCTAAAAAACGGAAGTCCGTCATTGTTTTGCAGGTACTTATTCAGGAGACTGGGGAAAGGCGTATTGCTGCTCTGGGTGCTGTGCATGAGTCTTACGACTGTCATAAAATGCCTGGCTGGTATAGTGGAACAGTCGGTTACCACATAGACGAGGGCAAAATATTTGAAACTGGCTTCCATGAGCTGGGAAGAGAAGTCGAAGGTATGGGTTACTCTGAAGATAGGTGTACGATATCTGCCACAAGGCTCTGTTGGCGCTTGGAAACATAATCAAAGTCTTACCGTCCTTCTAAGGGCGACCTTGCGACAGTAGGTTTCTGTTTTCCAAAAGAAAAAGATTCAGAAATTTTCGTTTGTAAACGTTATAGAGATCACTTTAAAATTGTCATAGACTCCTCGAGATGATTATTCTGACGTGCATGAGGTAAATGGGAAATGTATTGTAGTTGTGTGACCAAGATAGAATGTTGAACGAAGTTGCTTTAAAATCCATGTGCCTGGAGTGTGAAACTGAAAAAACCCTGAATCCTTCGATCGTGGGGGGTTCTAACCCTCACCTTCTGCTTGCCGATCAAATGGTTTACAGAGAGCGCATTAGAGGCCAAAGAATAACGGGATTCATATCAACAAATGCTTGACGCTGCTAGGATCATTTATATCGTCAACACTCCTTGTATAAATACAGTAAGGGAGATTAAACTTTTTTTCGAATGAACGAAGAGGTAGGTCATTAATCAAGACCGAACAACAAGGGAAAAAAGTCCAATTTCACACCCGGGTGTTACACGATTGGTTGCCTCATGTTTGGTTTATTTTGTTATCTTTTCTCTATGTAATTAATGTTTTCTGTTGATAACTTAGGAGCCATGGCTTACCGCGGCGATCTCATCGCCTGTGAAGTTGATTTTAGGGGAGTTCCCGAGGGAAAAGTCTCGGTGTTGTTCTTCTTGAATGGTATAAAAATAGCGCGTTCTTCAGTGGAGTATACCGAGGGAAATAAACTATTTCCCTTCGTTTCATTGGGATTTGAAGGCATTACAGTGCTCAGCAAGGTATGTTCAAGTTTGTGTAATTTTAATGTTTGCGAACATTTACAAACTATCCAACCTTTTACCAAAAGGCTGTGCCCTGATTGCTTTAAGGCAAGAACAGGCAAAGAGCGCGTCGATCTCATCTAATTTTATTTCAAACACATCTGTATTCCACAATTGTGGAATTTAAAGTCTCAAGTTGACAACTTTGATCACCGCTGCCCTAAATTTTTGTCTTTTTCATTTTTAAATTTGAGACGTTTGATTTTTGCACGTTTTAGATGTGCGATCCTGACAGAGACTATTTTAGTAGAGTAACAAATGAAGACCTTCAGAATGAAATTGGAGATCTGCGACGTGATTTTCAGGATCAACTTACCGAGCAAAGGAGGATGTTAATGTCAGAAATGAGAGATTTAGTACTGCGTCTGAAGGAAGTAAAGGATAAAGAAGAACAAGAAGAAGATACTAAGAGGCTGGACGGAGGAAAGCAAAGAAGATTTTCATCTCCACAGTAGTTGTTCGAGAACATTTATTCAGCTTAGGCGCAATCCAAATTTGTGTGAATCCCTGTAATCTTAAAATTCCTCTAGTCTCGAATGAAGATAGTGGCAGAAGATATTTGTTTATCTTATACTTAGATTAATATTTCTTTCGAATGTAAGCGCGAGGCGGGCACGAAGGGCGAGTCACACGCGAGGAGAGAACTTTACATCTGTGCAACTAATGCGTATGTGATCCCGGTGAACAAAATGATCCTCAAGTTTGAACTGCAATGGACCCGGGACATTTCAAATTGATCGGCGCATAAGATCATATAGGGGGTATTTTCGTAGACTATAGTTGGCGAAGTCCGTTATACCAGTCGAAAAAAAAATTAGCCGCAGAACTCTGGGAGTGAGGTGCAGCGCGCTGACATCTTTTTTTTTTTTTTTTCACCCCCGAAATTGACCTTGGCGTTTCTGTCACAGTCTGATGCGTGTCAATTAGAGAGGAAAAAGAAAGGGCGACTGTACACTTTTGAAAAAATTGTATAGAGATAGTAAGGAGAAATTATTTCTTGGTCACCCATGGGAATTAAAGGTTCCAGATTGGTTTTCTCTCTTACCTTATAATTCTTGGAATAAATGGGCTTAAATTTGTTTTTCGTGGAGAGGTGTTGATCTTCATAATTTGCAATAGTAAACCTTGTAGAATGCGGTAAACTCACCAATCTTTGTCTCCTTGTCGAGGTTTAGCCTTATTTAAAGTTATTTTTGAACTTGAAAATATCTGGTTTTATAAAAGATGAGGATGTTCTTTAGCATTTGCAAAGAGTAGTTTTATGAGAAGATGAATTGTACTCGCATTCTGACTGGTTATTGCCTATGATCTACTGAAGGACAGACGCATAGAAGACCTATAGGTAGATTACTAGCAAGATCATCTAGGAGCCCTTCGGTTTACCCTGGAAGATGATGATCAGTTCCTTGGCCCCCACATCGCAAGTTTACCCCTCCCCGACGAGTTTGCGACGACTAACACGAGTTTGCTCCCAACTGCTTTTAAAAGTCCTTTGTTCTTGGCTAAAATATTCTTCGTAATCAGGCATGTTGTGTAAGTTCCAGAGGAAAGACCCACGTTATCTTACAATGTTGGAGATTTCACTGCCCTCAGTAGATCACAATCTTGCGCATATGCTAATGAAATGTTGGAAACGGAAAGATACCGATTCCTCTTCTATGCGAATAAACCTCCCAAAATTCAACAATTTACCCACGTGCGGCGTCACTGAGAAAAAAAAAAATACAGCCGGTATTCCAAAGATATCTTGTTTGCTCTTGTTTAATTTTGCCCTGTTCTCACCGCGCCTTCTTTCACAAGTTTCCGCCCAATTAAAAAGTTCATATCATAAAAACCTTGCCGGTCCGACGAAGAAATATCTATTTTGTTAATTGTTTGTGCGCACTACTAAAATAAAACGTGATCAACTTGGCTATTTTCTAAGACTACGGCTTCCTGAGGAATAAATTTTTTTTTAACCTAACAAATAACAAAAAGGAAAAGAGCTGCATTAAAAAAAAAAAATATTTGTTAATGAAAATAGTCGAAAGTACTCATTACAATCAAAATGGATTTGTAGGATAAAGATCTGTGTTTGATGCGGTGTAGACCACCAAGGATAGTTTGGGAATGACAAATAGCTCTGGAATCTTGGTTGCTATAGATTTTGAAAAAGCATATGAATCTGTTACCCATGATTTTCTATTTAAAGTTTCAGAAAAATTTAACTTTGGATCATATTTCTTGCACTGGATAAGAACCTTTTAGACAGATATGTCAAGATGTACTATGAATAACGGTTTCAGTACAAATTCTCTTTTGTACAAAGCATAGGGTTCGTCGTGATCTCTCGCATCTTGTTTTTTTATCTTAGGCCTGAGAATTCACGCGTGTCAAGTTAGACAAGATAGCAATATAGAAGGAATAAGAATTTAACTGCCTTCGCTGTTGATATAACCTGTTTTTCAAATATATGCGTGCTCTTATGTGCGTCTAGAGGCATATTTGAGATTTTCTGGTAAACAATGTTAAAAATCTTGAAGCAGCGGTGAAAGGATACTTATCTCAAGCATGTGAAGAATTCACTTCCAAAGTGAGGCTTGCTGCAAATTGACCAATCACCGTCGAGATTTTTGTGCACTTCAGCCTTGATCTGCTTACGTATATGCGTTAATTTTTGTAGTCACTCATTGTAAACGGGTTGAGGAAAGAAAACTAGAAGCCAATCGATTCTTCGTTACAGCTACTATTTTGTAGAACTCTATTCCAGCATATAATCCATAGGGATTTTCACGCGGCTTGCATAGGGAGATAATGGCCGACCCTGGGAATTGTGAGAAGTAAGTAATGATTGTCAATGTTTTGATTGAATTATTTCGTCACAGCGAGTTCTCATTTGCGGCTAACGTTATGTCTTGAACTTAGAAGAGATTGTTGGTTGTGTGGAAAATCACAGATTAAATGGGTTTCCCATTCGGAGTTGATTCGACTCAGCTCTGTTCTGTTATCGTGTAGTAGACTTGAGGTGTTGAATATTGCGGAAAAACTCTATGCAAACGTACTTTCACTAAGATTGACTTGGAAATGAGTTACCACATAAGAAAGAAAACTTTGTTGAGGTCTTATATTCTTTTAAAATTAGTTCTCATAAAGAAATCCTGGCCTTAGTTCTAAACGCGTTTTTTCTTTCGGTCCTGATTTAGCGAAGGTGGTTTTAAAACATGTTTGAGAAAAATTTCCGCTTTGCCCCTCACTCATTATGCACACTGAGAAGAAACAAGATACAATAGCAACGCTGTTATTGATTTCCTGTGGGACTACGGCTCTGTTTGTGGTTTTTGATTCGTTCCTTTTATCACGTTCTCTTGAGTGGCTCACAAATTAAATTCTGTGACGATGTTATTTTAACAAAGCGATGAAGTTGTTTTCGTAATCAATAGTAGTTGTTTTTTATTTATTTATTTTTATAAGAGGATCATTGCATTTTAGTTGCAACAGAAACTGTAGAAGTCACTTTGAACACACTGCTTTATTGAATTCAACAGCTCCGTTTATATAGAGATGCGTGAGAGTCTAGAACATCTAATGCATAAATCAGCTAGCATAGCCTGCAGGAATGCCCTTATCGTGAACGCTTCGGCTTGTGTGTTTCTTGGCCCGCGGGAAAGAAAATCTTGAGCAGCGCTAGTTAGCGAGAGGTCTGTGGTGATAATGTTTGACTAAGCGCACCACTCAAGCATAGCAAAATAAACAAAAAAAAAAAGATCAATATCAGCAGTTGGGAACAGACTTTTTTATAAAACTACCGTATAATATAATCTTTCAAGTAACTTTTAATCCCAAAATCAAAGTAGCGAGATCAAAGTAGCAAAATCAAAGAGCGAGATTCTGTACATTAAGTGGTAAATTATGGCATAAAGTGGCGTTGTTTGTAATACTCCTAATCCGTGGAACCTGTATCAAGCGCCATTCCCGGTGAGTGACCGCTAAATACAGGTTCGACCGTACACTTTACTACAGCATTAGTTATATTTGCTAGTGCGAAACGGTCTAATGGTCGTATCATTTACCGAAACTTAGATAACTTTGCTGAAAACATTTTTAATATTTAGTTCCTTGACTTCGCGTGGCGCGCTAACATTCTTGTTTTGGCTGACTTTTCCAGACTCGCGCAACGGACTTCGCCGAAAAGGGGGGCCTGCTCGCAGTTCACTTGTTGAAACTTTTTTCTCGGTTTATCATACAGCAAGATATTAGAAACAATACTTAGTCTCTTGTGTGCAGATATTGCGGATGAGATACCAGGATTTCTTCAGTTTCGAAAACATAAAATCTTCACAAAATCATACTGACATTTTTGTACATTTTTAAACACGGCAATGTTTTTCTAAGGCTCGTAGTTACGTGCATTCAGACGTTTTTGGAAGTTTTATTATTTGTTGTTCTATAAAGCCTGGTTTTCACTAGCGACGCAAGCATAAGCGCAAGCACAAATGTAGGCATAACAGCCCTTATTTCACCATGAAAACGACCTCGATGCAAGCATACAAACAAGTGCATGCCTTTTCTTTTACTAATGCTTGTGCTTGTCGACGTTCGTTTCCACTTGGTATATTTTACTTATGAGTGCGTTTGTGCTCACGCTTGGACTTAATAATTATAATAATAAAAATAATATTTATTATTTGTAACGCGCATTTTACATGTGCATATGATCAAATGCGCGATAAAATAAATATAATAAAAATAAATAGAAATATAAATGTTAGATAAAAATTAAATACTCGGCCCTGCATCAAAATATACAAAACGATAAAATAATATAAATAATATAGAACAAAAATTTAAAACTTGAATAAAAGCTATAAAACTAAATATCAATTCAGCAAAATGGTTTGAACCCGGCGGTGACATGTAATTGTGTAGTTTAATCGTCCGGGTAAGTGTAGTCCTGAGAAGGACTGTTGTCGGTAGTGGTGTCTTAGTAGTCACTCCTTAGTAGTCACCACTACCGACAACAGTCCTTCTTAGGACTACACTCGCCCGGACAATCAAACTACACTATTACATAAATATCAATTATGATATGCTACATTGAAATAGTATGTCTTCAATAGAGATTTAAATTTAATGAAGTTATATTTGCATCTCTTATTGAACTAGACCCTGTGAGCAGGGTAACTGGGATACCTGGATGGTACTGGATCCTTGGAGTCAAGTGTAGTGATATTACGGGTGTCGGACTGGTATACTGAAATAGTGAGCTCAAGTCTGGCCAAGGACATACACCTATTTCAAAACATAGGCATGCTATGCATGCAAGAGTTATTTTTTGTAGGGTGGGTGGATTACTTGAAACATTGTAAGTGGTCTACATTATTACAAAAGGAAAGAAGAATATTAACGCGGAAAATTTTGAAATTAATTCTCAATTTAACAGGCAACCAATGTAAAGAACGTAAAACTGGTGTTATATGACACAATCTAGGAACAATGCAAACTAACCTGGATGCTGTATTTGGAACTCTTTGCAGCTTATTTAAATGAGTATCGGGCACTCCCAAAAAGAAGGCTATTACAATAATCCATTCCTCCCATAACTAATGCATGAATTAATATTTCCGCAGATTCTCTAGAAAGATATTTCCTAATGCGCCTTAAATTATGTAAAAGGAAAATGCTGCATTACATGTCTTATTAATGTGTAGTGAGATTCATGTTCGTATCGAACATATGCTTGCGTCGCTAATGAAAACCAGGCTTTACGCCGTTGGTAACTAGAATACTTGAGTGCTGATTTCATGGTGTAAATTGTGCTTTAGATTTGATTCACTTGAGGAAATGGAGCTGTCAGTATTTCCTGAAGAACCAGTGGTAGCAGTTGACTGTGAGCCTGTGCCTTCCGAGCCTACGAGGAGGCCATCACCAGAACTTGATTTCGAGACTTTCAAGTAACATGCGTTGATCAGGATCAGGTCGAGGGGGAAATTCCTGCTGGTTTTGGTATGTATGATCACAAAGAGTCTTACAGGGATTGGTGGCCTTTATGATAACGTTCCTTGATTCATTATTGAACTACCTGTTCCAGAATTTTGTAGATGCAGTCAGTTTGGTTTGTCTTGAATATGAAAGATATTATCTAAACGATTGGGTTGGACTGGTGACGAGGATAATCAACAAATCGGCTGTTTTGCCTCCGCCTCAGCAAATATATAATGTACAGTTTGACAACTGTTGCAATTATTTTTCGGACTAAGCGTATTAGTTGCGATGTTGACTCGTTTGTGTCTGTCCTCTGATAGATGATAAGAATAACTAATCCAAATGCGTGTACGATTACGCGTATTCCAACTTATAGGTAAACAATGGCGATAAAATTTGGTTAAAACAAAAACAAAAAAATAAACATCAGCGATATACGCAGGCGCTTTTACTTTATGTGTCGCCTTTTTTTCGTTCTACCACATTTTGACGTCACTCATGATCAACCTTTGAAAAAAATGTAACAAAATTTGATATAAATTTCCTTCCTATCACCTATTTATAGAACCAGAGGACGAGCACGTGGGTATTGATGCTTCCAATCAACAATCTCAACATGAAAGTAAGTGAAAGAGGGCGTCAAGGGAGACGCAAACACAAGACGCAAATAAACAGACTCCTAAAACATTGGTGTGATTTACTGAGTCAACGTGCATTTATTTCGTTTATTCAAAGTTTATTCCTTCCCCGAAGACTGTTCATCACACGAGGAACGAGGGCTACATTGAGAGGGTGGTGAAATTCAAACTTACTTCTTTTGTCGGTGGTTTTTTAAATTGAAAAATGTCCATACTTGTGAATCATTCTTGTGTGTGTCTGATTGTTTTACAGAGATAGAGAAGGATCTGGATGATGTTCTGCGTGTGGGTGATTTCGATGCGATTGATCAAACAGTGACTCCAAAAACCCTGGCAAGGTGTAAAACTAACACCTTAATCAAATCTTTCCAGGTTGGTCTTTTAACTTCATCTTTACCTATTTTACCGGCATAATTTACTCAGGGCTGTTTAGCCAGACCAAGTGACAAAAGTGATCCTAATCACATAGATTTTGTTTCACTTCTCCATATGATTAGCTCGTCATGCGCATACCGCTCTCTCTACTAATTAGCGTCAAAACTACAACCAATTGTTTCTTGTTCACTGTCTGAGAGTGTACTTGTAACCTTGAAGTATCACTGACTTGCAGTTATATCTTGTTTTCTTTCTCATTGGTCATCGAGGTTTCAGTGTACTAATTTGCAAAGGACAATTGAAAAACTCTCCCGCCTTGTTCAACAACTGGAGGCTAACAAGAAATCAGAAACAATATTATTGATTTTTACGAGCCATTTGATGAAAACGAAGTCTTCATTTCTTTTTAAACTCAGGTCAACAAAGCACTGCGAGATTTAGCAGATGGTGCAAACCCGGAGAAAGACGATATAGAACATCTTGAAAAATCTATGTGCGAGTTCACAGCAGCCTTGATAGATCCTCTTAAAGCCGACGCCGATACCAGAAATACATTTCAAAGTTGTTTTGATGATGTGGTGGACAAGGCAATTGACACGAAGCAGAAGAAGGTACTACACGAGTGTTAAAAAGGTTTCCAATCAATACTTTATTAAGACGATTCTAGTGGAATGCTGTCGCCCATCTGAACACACAGGTGCCCTTACCTTTACGTGCTATATACGTAAGGAAAGAATAGAGACAGCAATGTCCCCACCAATAACCACCGGTAAGGAGGCTTTGTGTGATATTGCAAAGGGAATATATATTTTAAGATTTATGCACACAATATTACGGTATACTTAGTGCCAATTCAATGTACAAGACGTCGTTTTTTATGTCTTTCCATTTTTTTTTTTTTACAAAGAAGCAATTAATCAATTTCCAGTGAAAGAAAGTTATATTCTGGTGAATTTACTGAATGATGTAACGCCAAACTGAATGATTTGAAGACACTGAACATAACCACAGCTGGGTGCTATAGCTGATCCGGCCAGAAATTAGTTTTCGGCTTAAATTGTATCAGTAATTTCTAAGAAATCTTTCACACCCTTGCTTTAGCAGTTCTATTCTGTTGTAGATCACAGTCGTGAAGTCAAAATGTGGCAAGAGCAAAGAGGTGGCACATGACGCGCGGCCGGGTGTATCACTGATATGTCGCGAAAATTGTTTTGAATTAAATGAAGCCAAACTTTGTTAATGATGACTTCCCCTATGAGGCTCTCTGATAAGTAATAAGCAAAAACTAGTCCAAATTCAGCTCATTGCGTAAAATAATGTATCGACGATTTTTTTCGCAGTTCATCTCTCACCCAGTGGTGTATAACTTGCTCAACTCCAGATGGTACCAATCCTATTTTCACGTAAGAAAAGAATCATGGCGGACACCTCAACGCTGGGGATACTTTTTTCTCAACCTCTGGACAGTGTTTGACATCGTCTTTTTCCCCTTTCTCTTTGTTATTTTCTTCGTCGTGCATTTAATAAAACAGGCCTTGAGGAGAAAAAAAGAGGTTTGTAATTTAGCATTACATGGTAATGCGTCTTTAGCAAGCTCTTAGGTATTCAAGAGGTTTGAACCTGGAGGAGGAGAGGGGGAGGCGCGGAGGGTGATGGTTTTTTGTATTTTATTCCTAACTCCATAAACCTAGGTTACCATGCAAGCTGAGTCCTCTCAACTTAAACAATACAGGAGTCCTGGCTAAAACTATGCGTGAGGTGCGGGTCACGTGTTTCTTTCCCGACGCGTGAAACGCGCTTCGTGCTTGCCTCGTGCTTGCCACCATTCGCCTGAAAAAGACCAAAAAAATACGCCTGTTCTACAGGCTACATCGTTCAAGGAGTGTTCACAGGCCTGGTATTTGTTCCCACCTGATCATAAAAGTCTTAAGAGTGGTTGAGATCGTTCTAAACAAGTCTTGAGATAAGATACGAGTAGCTACTGGAGAGTTGTTGTGGTGCATGGTATCAGTTGTTAAAACTTTCCTTTATTGATCAGTGGTTTATTCGTTTAGCTTATGATGCTTTCCTTGATAATTTTTCAGAAACTGAAATATGTTTTGTTTTGACACTGGGCAAAGATAGCTCAAAAGAAGAATTTGATCTGATTAAAAGGACAATAAACTACATTGTTCGTGAATATGGCTGCCACTTTGCCAAATACTGTGTTGTTTTACATGAAGACCACAAAATGATCGGTAACATCAACTTTAAAGAGAGGTGCTCTACTGAGGCTGAACTTCGAGCGAGGATTGACGCGTTACAGCTGCCAAGCTCTACCAGTTCACTCTGTGAAGATCTTATGGCCACCCGAAGTGCATTCACAAACCAAACACATAGGAAGGAGGCCAGAAAGGTGAGGTATACGTGCGCGCAACCGTTTTCTGAAGCGCTGCCGAGTTTTGTCACTTAACTAGTTCCCATGGGCTCATTTTGCAGTCATGAGCTGGCTATCAGGCCTTGGCAAATTATACTTACCAATTCGTATTCAGTATTGATTGATTTTGACGACCGCACGCTACAGTTGATTTATGTTTAAAACATAAACACAAATCATGTTTTTGTTAGTGTCATGGCTCATAGGCCGGCCTCTTGCATTTGCCCTCTTGCCGGAGAACTCAGGCTTTCCCTTCTTGCTTCAAGCTTTTAAACTCGCTGTCACGAATAATCGAGCGTCTATGCTCTTTCTCTATTAGATATCAGCATGAGAAAACATGTCCCACTATTTTCCCTTGATATAGGTAAAAAGCAATAACCATTTCACGATTGCTATCGGCTCGTGATCTTCCCGCCTTTCTTAAGAACTATTGCGTAAAACTCCTCGGGAATTTTGTTCAGGACCTCCGGTACGTCCCTTTTAAATAATTTGTTTTTTAAGTCCCAAAAGTTTCAGACTTTTAGCCGGATGTTTGTGCTTTTTGGGGTATCTTTTCTCTTAGTATTCTCCCGTAAACTCTGAACCAAAACGTGGTTACTCTCCCCTGACTTGTCCGCGGTTTTGTTCTGCTGTGCTTTCGCGACTCTCTTGTCAATCGATTTAATTTCAACTTTCTGCAATCCATTTCACTTTTTGCATTCAGTTTCAACTCTCTACACAGTTTGGGATTAACTGACGCCTTCTCAGCCAATCAGCATGCTGAAATTTTGTGCATACATATTAATGATTTAGTTCTTTATCTTATCTGGCATTTCATGTACATAACAGCTACAGTTATCAGTTGTGTGAACAGATTAAACGGCGAGATAAACAAAACTATTATAACTCATGCAATAGATCCATTAAGATACTCACAAGCACATCAATAATATTTTTGCGAATCCAATCCTTGTTGCTGAAAGTGTAAATTTTTTTTTATTGAAAAATTCAAGCAGCTCTTTTATCAGAAGGCCATTGTTGTTCAAGATTGATAAGTTTGGGCTCATATTTGATAAGACTTGTAAATTTGTTTTTGAGAATCAAATGGAATAAATATCACCTTATTTTTAATTTTATGTTTATATTAGGCGGTCGTTCTCTTTCTTAATGACTCGTTACGCATGGTTAATGCTAACATTGAGAGACTACCGCCCCTAAAGGAGATAAAGGATATGCAAGTTAACATCTTTCCCGTCGGTATCGGGGAGTACGCCAAATTATCAGAGTTAAATAAGATGGCAACTAAAGATTGCACAGCACGTCACTTTGGAGAATACGAGTCACACGAGACGTTGGGGACAGCTGTCACACAAGGTAACATGGGGAGGTTTAAAATTTCGGTATAAAAAAAACCCTCCTTACAATGATTATTCTCCTATTTGGTTTGGGAAAAAATAAGAAAGCATTGCATGCAGTTGTTACGATTTGAATTGAGGAAGGTTTTTAACGGTGCTATATTTTTAAAAGCTTTTACTTTTCTCCCCACTTCTCGGAAGTGTGACTGGCTTTATAATTGATATGTTTTACTTTCTTACAGGTATCGAGGGAAAGAACATCTATGGTGAGGACGAGCTATTTTTGGTAGCTAGATTTCCAGACCGTTAAACTTTTTTTTTTTTTTTTAATAATTTTCGCTAGACCGCCAGTGCTTCCAGAGTTTTCTTTTGATGGTCTCCATTCTAAGCTAGCGTCTCAATCATTGTCCTACCGAGTATAACTATGATTATTATGATGCCTTCCAGAGAAATACAAGGATTACTTTACGACTCCTTATTTCGTCTTTTTCCGCGACACGCTGAGCTATCTCATCCTCCTCGTTCTGCACTTCGCCATTTGCCTGTCCCCTTCAGCTATTGCGTTCAGTCGACTAGAATGGGCCATTTCAGTTTTCTTCCTGGGACGCGTTTTGATGGAGGTGGATCAGTTTATTAGTACTGAAAAGGCTGGTATGAAAGAACGTATGCTGTGGAGGAGGAAAAGGGATGGCTCCAGCTACCAAGTATGTTCACATGAGGGTCAACAAGAGACAAATGAGGCAGAAGAAGACAATATCATGCTAAAGAACCTTAATAATTATTTTAGGTATTTCAACTTTCTATTGTCTGTTTGTTAGTGACAATAGTAGATTCTCATTCATGTTGGGGGCATGATCAGCTAGGAAGGATGGGGAAAAAGAGTTAACAGCTTGAAGAAGGTAACAAAATGAGTCACTGTTCTCTGCCTGGTACACTGGTAATTTTTTTAGAGCTGTATCATTAGTCATGAGGTGACATTGTTCACTGCCTGGGTTCATTGATAGCAACCGGTGTTTATTGTTTTAGTACACCGTTAATTAGCTCGTACCCTTTGTAACAAAAAATAGTGGAACATGTAACTGATTATCTTGCTTTATAATTATGCAAGATCTAGCTGTTCACGGATTACATCAAATAAATGGTCTTCTAGTACTGATATCTACTACTTTTTTAGTGACCGTTGGAATGTGCTTGACTTCATCATTCTTGTTTTCTACCTGATTACCTTCATACTACGCATAATTACATGGAGGAACTCCACGGACGTGTCAGAAAACTCACTCTTGGCTGTCTCAGAGTATTTCTATGGATTTATCGCCATGTTTCTCACACTGAGAGCCTTTGGTCAAGTCATAGAGCGCGTGCGGGGAATGGGTGCAATACAAATCGCTTTGTTCTTTGTTATCTGGGATGTAATGGCGATATTTTGGCAGTTTTTGGCCATGATTCTGGCATTTTCCCTGGCTATGACCAAGATATATGTTGCTGAGAAGGCCTATACCTTAGGAAAAGATTCCGCGAAGGATTTGTGAGTACATAGTGCGATCTTTCTAAAGTATCGAAACCGTGAGTGACAGATTCTAACTTGCTGGGCTCATTCATTTGTTACTCTTTTGTAGTAGTGGGGTGGAAGAGTTTTCCTTTTACATTATGGAGGGGGACCTCATGTATGTCTAGGCACCCAATGTAGGAAACAGTGGGCTAAAAGCTAATCAAGTGAGATTTAGCTTTTTGGATGGAAAGCCTGACAGGAGGGTAAAACTACTCAGATCAGAATGTCAAACGTTGCATGAAAGGCCGATTTTTTACAGTCTTTATGAATACTCACACAGGCCTCAATAAATAAGTCACTTCGTCGCGCCACTAATACAAAAGGTTTGAAATCAAATTATGATAGCCTGATACCCATTAATCATTGCTGGGTCAGTCGTAGTCATGAATTGTGGAGTCAGTGACTTGCTATACACCGTGAATTTTTGTGTTACGGGAGGTATAAGTTCAGGAATGTTAGTTAACAATTTCTCTGGAAAAACACAACTGTGTAAAATAAAATTCGGAGGGGGGGGGGAGTGGTTATGTAACTTTGACAATTTCTGTTGGTTAAACCGTAAACCATGACAACAGTTTCTTTAACCATTCATTTTCTCCTATCATTTTTAGGGCATGCAGTGATTCCGGGCTAATTTGGTAAGAATAAAATTGTTGTTTTTTTCTACTCTAATTTTAACTTTGTACTCTGATGTCTAAAATATACCAGGTTACACGAAATTTTTGCTAACCTTGAATTTCGCGCTTTCAATATGCCGCGATTATTTTAAAAAGTTTCAAGCGTGAAATTCTATACCTGAGGGGTCGGAAAGGCTAATTAAGGTCTCCCGAGAGGAAAAGAAGTGAGAAAAAATCATTCTGATGTGTTGAAATAAGTACTGATGTTCAACACTGAGCTTTATCAGCTTCATCATGAAAATTTGCAGGAAAGACACTCTTTCCTTTCATGGCAGCATATTTACTAGAACAAGAAGCAGAGCTGCGAGTGAAGAAACCCTCTTTGCCCCCCATTCCTCTTTCGGCTTCGCGTCCGATTAATTAACGCTACTTCGCCTCTTAAACCTACAAAAAGGCCGACGCAGCTATTAGTTTACCTTCTTAAGAGGTACCTTACGGTTTCACCTTCTGGAAAAATCCAGACTTCATCGTTGCTATTTCTTTTTACCACAGGTATCCCTCAGGTTTAAGGTTATCTTGTGATATTTTGGATACCAACACTTAAATGTGTTGGTGTTTGACTTAATTGAGCTGACCAGGAATCTTGAAAGCAAATTTTGAAATCGATGATCCACGTAGGAGTAGTGACACGATGGCCTCCAGGACACAGACGTTTAAAAACATTTATGGCGGTCATAACAATCTCAATTTCAAAAATTCAATGGTGTTTTGATCTAACTCGTTGCTTATGTTCTTCAGTTGGTGGAACATGGCGACACACCTTGGTTGGTCTTTATTGGGTTTAGCTGACCTGGATAGGTTGAACTCCGTCGACGATTCATCCGTTTCTCTTATTCATGTGCTGTACAGCTTCTTCTTAATCATGGCAGTTATTCTTCTCGTGAACATGATGATTGCGTTGCTCTCAAACACCTATCAGCAGGTTCAGGTACTTAACAGTCTCTCTGCCTTCGCCGATGTATATTAATTCTGTTCATAATCCAGAGTTAAGAAAATATGAGAAGTTCTCGACTGTAAACTCGGTAGGAAGTTTTTGGCGTAAGATACAAAATACATTTTTCGCAAAGTTCAAAAGATTCTATGATCATTTATAAATGTACTTTTAGCCGACTGACGCTTTAGACGAAAATGATGGTGAATATTGTCCCTCTGGTATGATATGCCAAAATATTCTTCAGCTATAGGAGTGTCGCCTCTTGTTTTTATTAACTGGTACTTCCTTAGAAGCTGTTAAGTCCCTCGCATTCCTCTATTATCAGGATAATTCACTGCAGGAGTGGTCTTTCAAGAGAGCCATTACTGTAAGAACTTACAGCACCTATCATCCGATACCAGTGCCCTTCAACCTTTTGTCTGTCCCCCTGATAGCACTCTGGAACCTATGTTGGCGCGACACTTCTGCTTCGCTCAAGGGCGGACGGGTAAGCTGCGGCCTTGCCAATTAGTTTTGTGAGTTTTAACAAGCTGCTGTTGTTTAAAGTTATCGTTCACGTCTGCTCAGTGATTTTACTTCACTTTCGATGTGGCCTTCTTTGATTCGACAGAGAGTAGCTCTGAATAAAGTGGTGAAGAAACTAGAAAGGATGTACTTCGAGAAATACGGTTATGAATTTCCCCTCACAGGTGGGTGATATGCTAGATTAGTAGATAGCCCCAGAAATCTATGATATGATCATAAAAAAGAATATGGCGGAAAGAGATGTTTTTCTACTAAACCTTGCTTCGCTATGATCAAAGTAATAGTTCTAAAGAAGTTTATACCATGACAGACAAGAAATAAAAAATCACAAATTAAGAATTCCAGTAATGATAATCTATTTATAACGAAGGGTATCGTAATGATTTTGCGGACTAGATTCAGAAGAGACCAATTTAATATTTGGTTCCTCGCTTTGTTTTAGAGGGGAAAAAGATAGATCACTTGGTGCAAGAAAATGAGGGAGGACGAAAATTGGCCAATCAGATAGTTCGGCAAGTATTCCGACCGCGTGGAAATAAGGAGGAAAAACTTGCGTCTGGCCACAGAGTGAGTGTTTTTCAGGCCCACATTCTTATGTTAATTAAACAGGAAGTTTCCCTACCATATACTATGGATCCTGCTCCATCAGGATACACCTTTTTAACCTTTTTAATTTGCATTTTAACCTTTTCCCTCGAACACAAATTTAAATGTACGATTGAGAAAATCTTTCAAGAAACGTTGTGCTGTAGTTTCCATGTTCCCTTGAAAAAAAACGGACTTGTTTTGTAGTGACATAGAAAAGCTGATCTGAAATGCTGCTCCAGGAAGTACAAAAAAAGTCAACAAAACTCGCTCTCAATGCGCGATACGAAAAGTAATGGGAGGGTTATAGCTTGAATAAAACCCCTTCTAGCTTGCTGGTATGTCGGCTGACAATGTCACTGGTTGAGAGATTGTCTTTAAGTTTTCAAATTTCTACTTGAAGCTTTGGTTCTTGGCCAAATGTTCATTCTTGGACAATGTCTCAGCCGTAGACATTTTCAGGTGACATACCAGCCGCCTGAAGGGGTCCATCGTGTTACTGAAGTTTTGTTTGATTGTCATTTAAAGGCGTGGTATGATTCGCCGGGAATTGCTGTCGATGGCTGTCTCCTAACTTACGTGGGACCAGATGTCTGCGACATATGCAAAAGTGGAAATCGTAAGAACATTCACAGTGCCAAGTTCAAGTCTCCCTTTACACCAGAGACACCAAGATTTGAGGTGTGCTTTCGATTTATAGAAAATTATTTGCGAACAAAAAATTTAATTCATATACTTCCTGCTTCATGATAGATTCTCTGAAGATGCAACATAATTACATTGTCTTTTTACCCTCTTCTCTTAAATAACCTCCCTCTTGTAGGCGCTGGTATTCTTTTCTATTTTGTAGCTCTACAGGTACTAATTTTTCTAAGAATGAACTTAACGGTGCCTCCATAATAGAAAGACCAGACCGGTTCCTGAAAAACATCTTTATGTTCCTCTTGTGGTATCCTATTTTCACCTTTGCTTTCATGGTAACGTGTCAACATGGATCAAGTTTGGGCACTTAACCCTGTAACACCTAAGAGCGACTATGATGCCAATGTCTCCACACTTTATTATCCCTGAGTCGAACATTAGGGTCACTTGGATAAAGTAAATGATCACCAACCGAAACAGCTCTTCATTGTTTAAATAATTCTTCCTTGTCAGCACAATTGTATAGAGAACAGCATGGAGAATATTCATAATTATGTTAGGGTATGAAAGGTTAAGGGGAGGTTAGGGGAGGGGAGGGGGGGGGAGGGGAGGGTAATGGGCTAGAAATTGAATCTATAAATGGTATGGTTTCATCAGTAATCTGCCAACATATCATACCTCGGCACACTCCTCCAGCTACAATTAATCGAGGGATTGTTCCTGTGACCAAATTGAAAGCATGTGGAGAGGGAGCTCTCTCTACGGCAGCTATCAGGCTCTAGAATCAAAAGAAGAACTTTGTCGTATCCAGTGTTAAAAAGACCACAAAAATTTTGTTCAAGTCTGTGTAATTTTAATATTTGCGAACATTTACAACTTTCTACCAAAATTCAGTGCCCTGATTGCTCTTAATTAAGGTACGAACAGGGAAATAGCGTGTCGATCTAATTTTTAGAATTCTATATCAGGCATATCTGTATTCCATAATTGTGAACATTAGAGTTTATACTTTACACCTGTGATCATGGCTGCCCTAAATTTTCGTACTTTTCTTCTTCAAAGTTGAGACGTTTGATTTCCACACGTTTTAGATGTGCCATCGTGACAGAGACCGTTTTAGTAGAGTAACAAACGAAGACATTCAGGAGGAAATTGGAGACCTGCGACGTGATTTTCAGAATCAACTTACCGAGCAAAGGAGGATGTTGTCAGAAATGAGAAATTTAGTACTGCGTTTGAAGGAAGTAAAGGATGAAGATGAACAAGAAGAAGATACTAAGAAACTGGCGGGTGACTTAAGTTAAATCCACAAGTGATGGCTTACGCGCAGTTTGATGGATCGGATCAATGGATGGATGAAAATAAAGAAGATTTTCATTACCTTAGTAGTCGTTCAAGAACATTCATTTAGTTTAAACGCAATGTAAATCGTATGCAATCACTCTTTTTGATGAGTGAAAAAGATGCAAACTGTATTTCTATAGCTGTAATATTTCTTGTTGAATTAAAATTGTAGTCTGCTTACTTACAAAGATTGTAGGAGTTATGAAAACCATTCACTACCATCTATAAGTTACGTTTGCTTAATCATATAGCTCCTAGTCAATAACCATAGTCTCCCCATCAACTGTTATATATGTTCCTGCAAATTATTTGGGAGAATGTAGAGTTAAATCAAGGTATCACTTTGCTTGTGAGTTAATCTGTTATCTGTTTGCTGAGGAACAAATAAATATCATAGAAAGAAAAGTATTTCTGCTAATCTTTTCACATTGCACTGTTTTCTTTCGTTAAGTGTCATCATTTTAAGATGACACAGAACGCATTCAGATCAGTTTGCAGAAGTTACAAATATTCTACTGAACAACCATATATAGGTTTGTTTCGGAATTTATAATACTTGTACACATTCAATCAATGCGTGAATGTAAATACTGTTGATAGGCGATAGATTAGTCGTTCGATCAAACTGCCTTGAAGCGTGCTCACTCGGGAAATATCCTATTAAGAGAAAGCTAAATTGTTCGGTATTTGTCTCGAGCGTAGGAAAAACTCACGACGTAATAGGGGGCACTATAAGACAAGGGGGCACTATAAGACACAGCCAATCAAAATACGGTCAAATGAATTCAATATATATCGATAATGTCAAAATGATTACTGCAAGGACTGATAATGTACGAAAATATAATGATTCCATCATTCGAGTGGTCAATACCAATGGTTTTCATACCAGTTTTCCTCAGGTGTAACAACGACAGGATGAGGAAGTTAAGAGACATATATATCAACCGTCCTCACAGCCTCTTACGCATATATTGTCTTCCCGTGCCTTTCTTAATATTCCACTAGTCTTGGAGGTGTCGAATATAGATAGCGGCAGAAAATTTTTTGTTTTAATATTTCTAGTACACGTGAGCGCGAGGCGAGTCGAAAGGGCGAGTCATAAGCGAGGTGGGAACGTTACATCTGTGCAACTAATTTGTATGTGATCCCGGTGAACAAAATGATTCCCAAGTTTGCACTGCATTAGAGTCCGGACATAAATTTAAAAATATCCTATTGGAGGATAGCAAACGACACCTAAACATATTTCAACGCCAAATTTGGCCTCTCTATGGCTCGCTGGTCTGCTGCCGTTAATATTTCTTAACGAAACTTTTAACCTTTCACTATGAGATTTTTTTGAAATCTTGGTACCTTTGTTTTTAAATCCATTCCCGCTTTAATGCCAAATTAGTCAAAACATATCTCACTTTCAGACCATTCAGTTTAATTATGTCTCTTAGAGAAGACAAACTGGCCGCGGAATTTGGGGTCAGCCAGGTTCTTGCGGTATCTGATCTCGCTCTTTCCCATAGAACGGGGAAACACCTCAGTCCGCGCCAACATCTTTTTTTTTCTCATTGTTTTCTTTTTTCACTCCCGCAACGGACTTTGCCAAAACGTAGGTACTTCTCGTAATCAGGAGCAAGAGATTTTCATAATCTCTCGGTCAGGAGACATGTTATTACTTACGCAGGTATTGTATCCTCACCCTCCCTCACCCAGGTTGTTTGGTTCTTAAAGGAATGGAGAGAAGACTGGGTTCAAGTCACCATCGTGACCACGTCGCGCATGCAAAAAGTATGGCTGCAGGAAGGAACACCTTTCTTTGGCATGAAAATTCGTGACAAAATGCCCCTTCTGCATCACTTGGCTATTAAATCACCTTTATCAATATATGGCTCCTTCCGCTGAATAACATGGGAATGTTTACAGAGGCTTAAGAACACAAAAACGGCGAATGTTTATGTTCACGCACTCACCGCTGGCGAACACAGAAACATCTGAAAGTCGTCCAGGCATCAAGGTATTTCTTGAGGCTGTTCTGCTTTGCACGGTGTTTTCTATTTCATTTTAATTCTTAAGAAGTTTCTCCTGTTCAATTTATTTTTAGGCGTGGTAAGGAACGGTTTAATTCATTTTAAATTGTTTTAGTACCTGAACGCGGTAAATTTAAATATTTTCTTGAGAGCTCTGCACTCAAATGAAGTTAAATAGCTGCATCTGTTGTAGAAAGCGTAGATAGCTGTATGCTGTATCTGCGGTATACTATCCATTGTAGACAGCCTACAAGCTGGGGTGAATCTAGTGAAAGAGAATGTCAATAGATGTATCCATTTCATAGCAGATAGTTGTATGTAGGTAGTGTGGACTCTGCTGATTTAACAATCGGTTTATGCTTAGTGAAGATTTATCAAGATATGGATGCAAACTGAAAGTTTGGAGAACAGGAGAGAAGCATTAGAGTTGCTTGAGGCAAACTTAAGAGCATCTCTAACCTTCAGAGTGCTCTCCAAACTTCCCAATTACATCCATATCTTGATATATGTGCATAGCATGAACCAATTGTTCTATAGCACAGATGAAACAGAGTGTGCATGAAAAAAGAGATTTATTACAATTGTTTTGGGTTTACTAGAGTGCATTGAAGTGGACCACTAAGTAACTGATGTTTGCACTTTTGTAAAAGAAAAAGAACATTTACTTCCAAAAGATTCCTATGAAAATCTCATTCAATGGATAGCAAAAAAACCTTCCAATTTATCTGAAATAAACTCAGACACATAAATTTTATGGTCTATTGCCATTGATGTCTGAGTAATTGTTGGCAAATTTAAACTGCTGTGGTGCTGCTTTAGTCTCCTCCACAGCCTAACCAAAGATATTTTGCCATCTCCACTCTTTGAGTGGGTGAAAAGGTATTGAATGAAGAAAAAAATATATTTTGAAAGCTTTCATGCAGGCATACCAACAAGGGCTCCTTAATCAGTACTTTCAATGAGACCTGGCACCCGCTAGAGCTCTGGCGAATATTCTGGTGTTAATTACCAGGTATACTTTGGAAGCTTTCAAGCAAACTCACAAAGTGAGACCTAAAACACCTCCAGATCTTCATGAGTTCTTTCAGTTGACTTTTAACTTTCTGAATGGGTTTTGATAAAAATATTGATATTGTTTTATCATATATTCTGGCATACATTTCATACATCTCTAGCCAAAAAAAGATTTTGAGTTTCCAAGAACATATTAACTCAAATTTTGCTAACCAATTACTACATGTCCTTTCAGAGGACTTTTTATGTGAAACTCAGGGAGCAAGCTTGTATGCCAGCAAATGGAAGATTTTGATCAGAATTAAAATGATCAGTTTAACAATTGTTACAAAGGAGATGAATATTTAATGATCATATATGGAAGTTTAACATTGAAAACTCTGTTTGAAGCCAGTTTTGTCTGAATGGAAGTAATGGGATTGCAAGAAGGAAATTGTTTTTATATTTCTCTCTGGTAGGTGCTTTACCAAGGTGGCCATCTTCTTCAAATCTTATTTAAAGCAATTCTTAATTGGTTGTTGCCTACCTTGTTTATAGGGAATTGACACATGAGGGGGTGAAGTCCTGGGTAGCTAAAAGTGAATTAAAATTGTGTTGGGTTTACCAGCTTATCGACTAACTTTCAGCTAAGTCAACTAACTTTGACTTCTTGACTGACTTACGAACTGACTACATGACTAACACCAAATGATAACACCTATCAACTTTGTTTGCCAACTGTTTCCCAGAAATGGAAAATTGTTATTGGATCGTTATCAAACTTTTTGTGTAAACTGATGTTGCAAGGAAAACATTAAAAATATGTTGTTTTTTTTCAGGGTGTATGCCAACCTTCAACCATGTTTATTGATGATTTCTTTACTGTGAATTCCAGTCATTGGCTGACACAGGTAAACAAGATCCTGGTAAACAAAGTTTTGGTTTGTTTGTAGTTTACCTTAGATGTGAAGTGCATAGGAAGATGGGAAATTTTTTTCTTATGCTTTTTCTTATTCCTAAATGCATAGAACATATATTTAGAAACAGTCTTAACCAGCTCTCTCCTTCCCTGCTTAATAAAAAATTTCCAAATAAAGTATGCACATATTATAGTTGAACCCAAATCAATTTTTCACCTTTCAAATGGTTCAAAGGATCTCTAAAAAGGTTGTTTAAATTAAACACAAACATAAACACACTGTAACTGCATTTTAATACCCAGATTAGAGCAAAACACTTTTTAACTGATAATTTCTTTGTTTCCTACCTAAGATAGAAAGATACTCTTCCTGTTATATCTTGGCACTTGTGGTAGTGCAGGTAATTTCATGAGATAAGTAGACTTATACAAAATAAAATACAGTGTTGTTAAGTCCAAGAAAAAGACCTAAAAAATATACAGGATAAAACTGTTTTGGATACTGGACTGTCTTTAAGTGCTGATGAGGTGTTTGACTTTGTACAAATGATGGAAGACATAAAGCTGGCCACTCAAGAGGTTGGTGTCACCCCAAAAAAATCTCTTCCTTAGTCTTGATCTGTGATGCAAAGACTTGGACCTCAAAAAAGAGGATAAAACTGTTTTGGACAATGGACTACCTCTAAGCGCTGATGAGGTGTTTGACTTTGTACAAGAGATGGGAAACATAAAGCTGATCCTTCAAGGGATTGGTGTTACCCAAAACATCTCTTTCTTAGTCTTGAACTGTGATGCAAAGACTTGGTCCCCCCCAAAAAGGATAAAACTGTTTTGGATAATGAACTGTCTTTATGCACTGATCAGGCGTTTGACTTTGTACAAGAGATGGGAGACATAAAGCTGGCCCCTCAAGAGGCTGGTGTCACCCAAAAGATCTCTTCCCTAGTCTTGAACGGTAATGCAAAGACTAGGTTTCCCCAAAAAGAGGATAAAAGTGTTTTGGACAATGGACTGTCTTTATGCACTGATTGGGTGTTTGACTTTGTGCACGTGATGGGAGAGATAAAGCTGACCCTTCAAGGTGTTGGTGTCACCCAAAAAAAATCTCTTCCTTAGTCTTGATTTGTGATTCAAAGACTTAGTCCCCCAATCATAGCGCACGTATGAAGCGAGAGATATGATATGCACATTTATTCGTGGACAGCATTTTACTCAGCTGTACGTCTTGTCTCTCGACGATTTCTTGATTCAGGCGCAATCCTCTCTCAAACAATTAGTTATAGAAGTATTCTTCGTTTTAAAAAGCACCATGTGAAGTGCACAAATAACAAGAGAAATCTTTGCACTACTGAAAAGCAACGCGCCAAGTGCACAAACAACAAAGGTGTTCCTCGTTCTAAAAAGCAACGCGTGAAGTACGGCGAATTAATCAGCGAATTGGACAACCCTTACAGTCGGTGAGAGTTAGAAAAACCCATTTTTACATTCAGTTTTGTCGTCATTTTTATAGGAACGATGGACCACCTTATTCGTCGGACATAAAACTCGATTCCAATCCTCTAATATCTAACTACTAGGGACCTACCCTTGGGTTACTTTTTTTTTCCAACTAATTCCTTTTAGTGAATTGCATCTGTTAAAACTGATATAAGTCAAGGAGCATCGTCGTCACGTTTTGAATCGTGTTTTATAAAATAATTCAAATAGTACGCGTGCTCTGATTGGCCATAAAACCATTTTACATGAACGTATGTAAACACGGTTTTCGTTTCTCTTTCATTAGTTATTTTATAAAAGAAATGTAAAATGGTTTCCGATTAGTAAGCAAATTATAACCGTGTGCCTGTTCTCTTTTAGCTACCGTAACGTACAAAAGAAAGTCAAGGGAGGCGAGAATACTTTTTTTCTGGTTAGTGTAGCTATGTTGTACATTGAAGTGAAAACTTGTGAAATAGTCACGGACAAATCAAAAAGGAAAGGCTTAAAATGCAGAAAGGCAAATGTTGGAAAAGATCCCTTAGGGTCTTGAATCTCGGGTTGGAATCATAGGGATGTTTCTGAGGGAGCAAATAAGTAAATCAAGAAATTAAAATTCTGCAAGTTTTTGGCTTTAGCTATCTTCTCTAGGATGACAGTAAGTATTGTGCACTCACTGAGAAATAGATCTTAACGTTTACTACTCCAGTGATTGAGCTTGTCATGCAAAATATAGGAAATCTATAATTACAAGACATTGCATTATTAACTGTTGATTACCTGACCATCTTCAACACAAATAATATCGCATTCTTGTACGTCTTGTGCATCACTTGTGCTTGTAGTTGTGGTTGTACTGGTAATTCTGGTAATTGTACTTGTACTTTCACTTGGATAAGGGAAGTAACTTGAGACATCAACCTGAGGTAACTAGCAATGAATTCATTTGCATTACACTTCAGCACATACACTATAAAATTGTAGTGGTATACCAAAAATCACACAAGCAAACAAACAAAGCCAGCTGAGCAAATGATTAACATCAAATGAAAAGAGGTAAGGGCAAGATTCATTCAGAATATTACTGGGAATAAAATAAGCGCATTAGATCATATACCCATGAATTTTGCGCTATATAGATAATAAAGTCATTAAATAAGGCAGTCAGGCAAGCGGGTTAAAAGATAGAAAAAGAATTAACGATGCATAGCTACTGAACCAAAGCAAATATACTGATAGAAATTGATCAAGAGCAAATATTCTCTGATTATAGTATATACCTTGCTTGGAGCTAAAGTCAGGGCACTTTTTGAAGACCTTTGTCCAACACTATCATCAGATTCTTCAACTGACTGACCTTCAGACTGATCTGAGGAATCAACGCCATCCGCAACGTAACTCAGGTAGTCAATGTTACTGCAGAGATAAAAACTTACTCGGGAGTATGGTTTCCCGAGTTCTTCTTTTTATTTCCCAAGAGTAAACTCGAGATCCTTTTGCCATGAAATCTCTTAGTACTTCTGACTTGTCGGGATAGAGGAGCTTGTATCCTAACGCTTTGTCGCTCTTGATTAAACTGGAATTGAAGCGATTTTGCTTCGCCACTGCTTTAGCTTTTAGTACCTCAGAAGTCGCGTTGGAAAGTACTTTCAAAGGTAAACTGCTTCCTCTCCTTGTCGCTGGCTCTCCATCTTTCCAGATCATCTCCCCAGTCTGTATTATAACTTCACTTGCTTCAGTATTTTTTGGAGCTCGGGGCATTTCCTTAGCCTTCTCACAAAACTTCGAACCACGTTCCTCTGCTTTCCGCTTTCTAAAGTCTTCATAGGAATAACAGAAGTTGGCGGTGCTGGAAAGAACCTCGGCAGCGCAATGGGTACAAAACATCTCCCCTTAGGTTGGTCATCTCAGCATCGCTATACCCACCATTTTGAGCCATTCTGAGCCATTCTGAGCCACTCTGAGCCACTCTGAGCCACTCTGAGCCACTCTGAGCCACTCTGAACCACTCTGAGCCACTCTGAGCCACTCTGAGCCACTCTGAGCCACTCTGAGCCCTTCTGAGCCACGCGGAGCCACGCGGAGCCACTCACTCTTTTAGTGTTTATTATACATATTCAAGTGCCTCATTTCACGTGAAAAAGGCATGTAGGAAAACACTGAGCTTCGAGAAACAGCCAAGTTAAGGCTAATGTGTTTACCATGCTTAAATATTTATAATCAGGGCCACTTGTTTAGGAGACCTTTTTTCAAAAGATCCAGACGTTAAAATAATTCTGTTTTCCGTTCGAAGTGTTTTTTTCCTATTTAATTTAACAAATGAACTCGGTTTGAAAACTTAACTTTCGAACCGAACGGCAGGTGAAATGTTGTGTTGGTGTCTCTGTCCCCCCCCTCCCCCACCACGTCTCTGCGAAAGGTATATGCCGACAACCTGCATGGAAAAACTGACCACAGCAATCGCACCAAATTTTTAAAACAAATATTTAAAACTAGACTGGTGAGCAGTACTCCTTATTCTCCGACGCGTTTCGTCTAACTGTCGTAGACTTCTTCGAGGTTTTTTACAATTTAACACTAAACACCTGTATTTATAAGCCATAGTTAGCGGCTATAAGCGGGCCAGTGACCATAAAGGCTTGGCCGAACCTACGAATACGAATAGGTGAAGTTGCGAAAAATTTGAAAACTTTTTGGGGTAAGGCGGGAGAATTCATTTGGAGACCACGGTTTTGGTTTTTTTTTTTTGCTTTTATTTGTCGGAGCTTTTACTAATTTGCAGCAACATTTGTTAATTTTACGTAATGTTTTATTATTTTTGCATCAATATATATTTGTTTACATCCACATATATTTGTTTGCACCTATATGCATTTGTTTGCAGCTGTCCCCTGTGGGCCACTGTTAAAACCTGTTTGGGGTGCGGTCTGAGAAACTAGGATAGATCGAGAAATTCGAAGTGAACTACGTCTGGTGTTTTGATTGCAATTTGGAAAGCTTTGTTTGCTTAGTGGATAAAGATAAGGCAGATGTAGTTTAGAAAATGGTTTTGATCTTTGAAATTCATAAAGATTTCGTCCATGAAAGATTATGCAAATTTACGCCTGAAATTGAAGCGAACCGTAATTTGAGCTTTTGTTTACTTCAGTTTGGGTGATGTTTAAAAGTAAAAGTCGGTCTTCTAAAAGCGACAACATTGTTCACTGAAGGGAAAAGTTTCTTCGCTTTCTTTTCCAATCAGGCAATATTCTATCCCTGACCTCTTGTGGATCACAGACGCGGCAATTCCACTCCGCATTCCAGCCGTCAAAGGAAACGATCACGTAATCATCGTCTACTTCTTCAACAGTGCACACACACCAAACTCCTTCACCGACTGCTTCAGCTTTTAAGCCCACAGTTTGTGGAAGCGCCATCACGTTTTTAGTCAACCGTGTGTTTAGCTCATGCGATCAAGACAGGTTTGCGATCGACAAAGGCGGTCAACTTGTTTTATAACATAGCTAGTAAATTTGTCTAATCGAATTAAATTCCGCGAGCGTGCTTCATATTCCTATTGTGCACGCTCATGATGTCAGCAAACAAATGCCTCGAGAAAAATATTTTCCATCGGGTTGAAAATGTTATAAAACAATTGGTTCATACTTCAGCTGTGCGTTCATCGAGATATGAAGCACGCGGGAAGTTTGGCGGGCACGAAAGATGCATAATAGTTGCTCGAGGCGGAGAGCAACTCTTGCTTCTTCTTCAACCCAAGCAGAATGTATATTTGTTTTTTTCAATGTCACTAAAACGACTATCGTTGATCCTAGAGGAACACAGAGGAAATCTTAAGAGTGTTGTGACTACAATAGGAATAAACAAGACAACATACAAGTAAAATTATCATTTTTCCTGTGCCATATAATCTTTTTTCACCCGGAAGTCTTACTGCGTTTACAGAAGTTTGAAACTTGTGCCACGCAACTTCCTGCATGGAAGCCTTTAATTTTTTGGCTGGAAAGTGTCATTTACTTACTATAGCAGGTAATTTAGTGTTAACAACTGAGTTGAAAACGTAAATTAACCACCGTTAAGGGTAAAAAAGCTGACGTTTCGAGTGTTAGCCCTTCGTCAGAGTGATTGGTGGAATTGTGGGTTGTGTGTGGTTTTATATGCAGAAAGTGGAGCTACGCCATTGGTGGGAATATGTTGACGAGAAAACAGGAATAAATTTGTTGAATGAAAAGCGCTCGTTGATTCCGTGGGGTTAAGGGTGCCGATTTGGAAGATGAATTTTTGTTCTAGTGTTTTACGGCTTTCCGAACTGCCTAGAAGTAAGGAAAGGCCGCAAACTGCCGTATGTTGTTTAGAATGATTAGGAAGATTAAAGCGTCTAGTGACTGGTTTGGCTGCGTCCTTGTCATTTCTTTCCACGTCGCGAAGCTGTTCTCGGAATCGGTCACCTGGTCGTCTTCCTGTTTCGCCGATGTATAACTTATTGCAATAAGTGCAAATTATGCAGTAAATAACATAGGCGGAGGTACAAGTAAAGTGATCAGTGATCTTAATGGATCTCTTAGGTCCCGATATTTTCTTTACGTTATGAATGTTCGCGAATTGTCCCTATAAAAAAGAAGAGGCAGGCCCGCAGAGATTTTTACATATTTATAAACTAGATTATTATAACCAGCTAGGTGGGCAGTTTCAGTTCCAGAATCTGGGTACTTTTGGAGAAATTCAGATAAACGTTTTCCCTGTTTTACCCGACAACAAAATTGACCGAAACTGTACCGAGATGAATAATCTACTGGTGTGTTCACATTCACTCCCAGGAAAATTGAATAACTCAACGTGAAGACGAATGATGTTACTATGTATAGTAGAAGTGCCAATTTATAATGTTGTATTTAGCTTCAGAGAGAGAGATAAACATTTCACTCTTTTTTTGCGACGTTTTTGTAAGAAAATGAGGCCCCAGGCCTCGAACAAACAGCCGTTGTTACCATGGCAACAAGAGTGCTGCGACCTTTAAAAGGGCATTTTTGTGCATCCCCTGAGTGCCTAACTGCATGCAAAATTTGAAGGGGGGTTGAAAATTTTCATTTCCTAAGATGTTTGATTCTTACAGAGACTTGTTCTTAATCCTGCAACACCTAAGAGTGACTGACATGTAATTTCTCCACACATTAGACTCATCCCTGAGTCAAACATTAGGGTCACAAGGATATCGTAAATGATCACCAACTGAAAAAGCTCTTCATTGTTTAAATAATTCTTCCTTGTCGGCACAATTGTATAGTGAACAGCATGGAAAATATTCATAATTATGTTAGGGTATGAAAGATTAAGTCAAGTTATTCGAACTTTGATGGCCACCTTTGAATAGTGCGATGGTGCTATCATTCAGCCGAAATTCCTTTTGGATTAAACGTTTACATTTATATTACTATTATTATTACTATTATTATTATTTATATTAGTGCTATTGCTTTGTAATCATCATCATTACTGCAGTTGTTATCATAGCTGCTTTTGTTGTTTCGGATGTTGATTGTTTATATTGTGGCTAACACCGTCTTTATCATCGTTATTATTTATTTTGGTCAAAGTAACTAGTATTCCCTCGGTCTCATGAGCAAAAAACTCATTTGCATACTGAAACAAAAATTAAAAGCATGGAACTTACGGCAACCGTAACAACAGAGTCTAAAAAACGAAAGTCCGTCATTGTTTTGCAGGTACTTATTCAGGAGACTGGGGAAAGGCGTATTGCTGCTCTGGGTGCTGTGCATGAGTCGTACGACTGTCATAAAATGCCTGGCTGGGATAGTGGAACAGTCGGTTACCACATAGACGAGGGCAAAATATTTGAAACTGGCTTCCATAAGCAGGGAAGAGAAGTCGAAGATATGGGTTACTTTGACGGTAGGTTTACGATATTTGCCACAAGAATTTGTTAGCGCGTGGAAACATAATCAAAGTCTTACCGTCCTTCTGAGGGCGACCTTGCGACAGTTGGTTTCTGTTTTCCAAAAGAAAAAGATTCAGAAATTTTAGTTTGTAAACGTTATAGAGATCACTTTAAAATTGTCATAGACTCCGAGAGATGATTATTCTGACATGCATGAGGTAAATGGGAAATGTATTGTAGTTGTGTGACCAAGATAGAATGTTGAACGAAGTTGCTTTAAAATCCATGTGCCTGGAGTGTGAAACTGAAAAAACCCTGAATCCTTCGATCGTGGGGGAGGTTCTAACCCTCACCTTCTGCTTGCCGATCAAATGGTCTACAGATTCATATCAGCAAATGCTTGACGCTGCTAGGATCATTTATATCGTCAACATTCCTTGTATAAATACAGTAAGGGAGATTGAACTTTTTTTCGAATGAACGAAGAGGCAGGTCATTAATCAAGACCGAACAACAAGGGAAAAAAATAAAATTTCACACCCGTGTGTAACACGGTTGGTTGCCTCAAGTTTGGCTTATTTTGTTATCTTTTCTCTATGTAATTGATAACTTAGGAGCCATGGCTTACCGCGGCGATCTCATCGCCTGTGAAGTTGATTTTAGGGGAGTTCCCGAAGGAAAAGTCTCTGTGTTGTTCTTCTTGAATGGTATAGAAATACGCGTTCTTCAGTGCAGTATACCGAGGGAAATAAACTATTTCCTTTCGTTTCATTGGGATTTGAAGGCATTACAGTGCTCACCAAGGTATGTTCAAGTTTGTGTAATTTTAATGTTTGCGAACATTTACAAACTATCCGACCTTTTTACCAAAAGGCTGTGCCCTGATTGCTTTAAGGCAAGAACAGGCAAAGAGCGCGTCGATCTCATCTAATTTTATTTCAAGCAAATCTGTATTCCACAATTGTGGAATTTAAAGTCTCTAGTTGACAACTTTGATCATTGCTGTCCTAAATTTTTGTCTTTTTCATTTTTAAATTTGAGACGATTGATTTTTGCACGTTTTAGATGTGCCATCCCGACAGAGACTATTTTAGTAGAGTAACAAATGAAGACGTTCAGAAGGAAATTGGAGATCTGCGACGTGATTTCAGGATCAACTTGACAAGCAAAGGAGGATGTTGTCAGAAATGAGAGATTTAGTACTGCGTTTGAAGGAAGTAAAGGATAAAGATTAGCAAGAAGAAGATACTGAGAGGCTGGACGAAGGAAAACAAAGAAGATTTTCATCTCCTCAGTAGTTGTTCGAGAACATTTATTCAGCTTAGAGCAATCTAAATTTTTGTGAATCCCTGTGCCTTTCTTAAAATTCCTCTAGTCTCGAATGAAGATAGCGGCAGAAGATATTTGTTTATCTTATACTTAGATTAATATTTCTTTCGAATGTAAGTGCGAGGCGGGCACGAAGGGCGAGTCACACGCGAGGAGAGAACTTTACATCTGTGCAACTAATACGTATGTGATCCCGGTGAACAAAATGATCCTCAAGTTTGAACTGCAATGGACCCGGGACATTTCAAATTGATCGGCGCATAAGATCATATAGGGGGTATTTACGTAGACTATAGTTGGCGAAGTCCGTTATACCAGTCGAAAAAAATCAGCCGCAGAACTCTGACACCTTTTTTTTTTTTTTTTTTTTTCATCCCCGAAATTGACCTCGGCGTTTCTGTCACAGTCTGATGCGTTTCAATTAGAGAGGAAAAAAGAAAGGGCGACTGTACACTTTTGAATAAATTGTATTGAGATAGTGAGGAGAAATTATTTTTTGGTCACCCATGGAATTAAAGGTTCCAGATTGGTTTTCTCTTACCTTATATTTCTTGGAATAAATGGGCTTAAATTTGTTTTTCGTGTTGATCTTCATAATTTGTAATAGTAAACCTTGTAGAATGCGTTAAACTCATCAATCTTTGTCTCCTTGTCAAGGTTTAGCCTTATTTAAAGTTATTTTTGAACTTGAAAATATCTGGTTTTATAAAAGATGAGGATGTTCTTTTTATGAGAAGATGAATTATACACGCATTCTGAATGGTTATTGCCTATGATCTACTGGAGGACAGACGCGTAGAAGACCTGTAAGTAGATTACTAGCAAGATCATCTAGGAGCCCTTCCGTTTACCTTGGAAGATGATGACCAGTTCCTAGGCTCCCACATCGCAAGTTTACCCCTCCCCGACAAGTTTGCGACGACTAACACGAGTTTGCTCCCAAATGCTTTTAAAAGTCCTTTGTTCTTGGCTAAAAATATTCTTCGTAATCAGGCATGTTTTGTAAGTTCCGGAGGAAAGACCCACGTTATCTTACAGCATTGGAGATTTCACTGCCCTCAATAGATCACAATCTTACACATATGCTAATGAATTGTTGGAAACGGAAAGATACCGATTCCTCTTCTATGCAAATAAATCTCCCAAAATTCAACAATTTACCCACGTGCGGCGTCACTGAGAAATAAATACAGCCGGTATTTCAAAGATATCTTGTTTGCTCTTGTTTAATTTTGCCCTGTTCTAACCGCGCCTTCTTTCACAAGTTTCCGCCCAATTAAAAAAGTTCATATCATGAAAACCTTGCCGGTCCGACGAAGAAATATCTATTTTGTTAATTGTTTGTGCGCACTACTAAAATAAAACGTGATCAACTTGGCTATTTTCTAAGACTACGGCTTCCTGAGGAATAAATTTTAGGTAGTCGTTGCATAAACCTTGTACCCTGTTTCATCCACATTAATTCTTCGTAGTTGTACATTCACTGCGAACAAAGCTTTCCGGTTAATTTTTATCGTTTTATCGCGTTGAGATAGGCCGCTGTCCACTAGAATTTTCTACAACATTATATCAGTATGGAAACGCGGGCACAAACTCAGCCACAGGGAATCGAGTACCGAAGACGATCGCCAACAAAAAGCGCGCGCTTGGCGCGTGCTTGGCAAAGTAATCATGCCACGACGATCTCGGGAAAGTACAATCGAAAAAAAACGCAGCATGCGAAATCAAAGGAGGAAACGTGAACGATTGTCAAGGACAGCTAGGGAAAAGGAGAACAGAGAAATGAGAACACAAAAGGAAAGAGATGCATATTCTTGGCGCGAATGTATTATAGCAAATGGAAAGCATTAGTCGAACAGAATAAAAAGACCCTGGACAAAACCAAGGTAGGTACTCGGTTAGCGTCAAAATAGAATAAAATAGATATCAGAAAATGAGCAGTTGGTTACAAAAAACGATATCACCGAACTGACGCTGAACGTAATCAAACTAGCACTGTCTTGCATTGTACAAAACGTCCTGGGGTTGACTTCAACATAAACTCATAGGGGGAGGGGAGAGTGTAGCCCTCAAAATTCTTCTCCTTTTTATGATGAAATGAAAAAAAAACTACAATCATTTTCGTAAAATAAGGCAAGGAATCCCCATTTGAAATTGCCTCATTCTGAAATGATTTAGCGGGAATTCGTTCATTTCTGTTTGCCAAGCAGACAGGCTAAACTTTCGTCTGAAAAGGACAGTCATTGAGCTTTGAGCATTTCCCTTCCATCTTGCCATGTAGTGTTGATCTTGCCCTACCAAGGTTACCACAGATCAAAAAATGGCCAGGGATAGAAATTTCAAGGTCAGGGAAAAGTCAGGGAAATTAAAGTGTTTACACCACTGAGTTTCATACCATGCTGGAAGAAATATTTCAGATGATCTCAGCAATGTCTTAATGAAGAAGAGGAGACTGGACATTTTGTATCCATTTCATCAGGGAAATTTTATTTTTATCATGGATAGGTCAGTACCTTAATAGTCAGGGAATCTTGGAAAGTTCTGTTTGTATTATATGAAAGGGATAAAGTTTATCAATAAATCTATCAACATAGGAATTACAATTTCCTCGATTGTGATTAGTTTTAAAAACTCCTATTTTCCACTAATTCACTTGCCAAGTTGTTGTTGGACAGTTCAATAAGCCAAATACATTCAAAGTTGTAGTTTAAGTCAACCAATCACATTCAAAGTTGTGGTTTAAATCAATCAATCACAACCTTGGTTTCAATCACCATAGAAACAGTGTACAGATTCCTAAATTGGGGCTTTCTTTAAAACAGAGAATTGGTTTCCCTTGAGCAATGACAATATTTAAGTGTTCTTTTTAATTTGGAAATTGTAATTTTTATGATTAATTGGTAAAAGGACTTTGTGTCATTCGTTTCGGTCTGTAATCACACTTGTGATAAACAAATTGTACCTCCACTATGCAGTCGTCTGATTTTGTTATCACTCATATGATTACAGACCAAAGACTACTCAGTCCTATTACCACTTATTACACAATCTAGCATGTGAATCTTATTAAGCTGACCAGCTTCACTTTTCCTCTGTTTATTACTTTATTCCAGATTAGAGACAGGAATACAAAATCAGGACCACCCAGTAGCAAATTTGCCACTGTTAATTTAATTGATCCATCTGAGCTTCAACCAATCAGTGAAAAGGAATTAATATTAGGACAGGGTTCATATGGCTGGTGCATTTTAAAATCTTTCAAAAGATTAAACGTTCTTGTGGTAGAAAAACAATGTCTGATGCAAAGCACTAAAGAGATGGTAAAGGAGGCACAAATCATGTAGACTCTCACACACAAAAACATTCCTGCAATAATAGGAATCCAGCTTGAAAGAGAGCCTATATCTCTAGTGATGGAGTTCAAAGGCGAAGAAAATACATCCGCAACAGTCAATAAACTATTGTATTGCAAAGAATCCAATGGCATATTAGAGAAAGTTAACAGTTCACTGACAAGCAAAGACTGGCTGATCATTTGTCATGATATCACAGATGCTCTCGCTCACATTCACTCCAAAGGCTTTCTTCATTGTGGTCTCAAATCAAATAATGTTAATATGTAATCCAAGATGGTGGCTCTGGGTCCCAGAACCTAACTTCTGAAGTTTGGTTTTATATGAGACAGGCAGAGTGAAACAAAGAACATGATTTTTACAGATTATGTGTAATACCCAAATGTTACGAACTGCTGAAATTGGCAATATTCTTTCAGTTATCTAAGGAGCTATTTATGAAGAATTATGTTATTGTTATGCTATTTATGTCAAACAAAAAGAAAACTGCATGTAGGCTGCTGGTGGAAACCCTCTGTATTAGTCTGCCCTCTTCCACAGTTAGCAGTGGGATTAGGGAAAGTCACACCACATTAAATTAAAACAAAAAAAATTTATCACAAAAACAGTTCCAGCAGCACAGAAAGGCCACAATGTTGGATGGATGGCCAGGTATACAATTGGAAAATAAATTGCAAAATGTGTACCAGCATGTTTGTGTTAATCCCATATTATGAAGTACGAGTTGTTTTCAGTAACTCAGTGTCAAATTTTATGGTATAGTTTTCTGTAATAATAACTAATTATCATCATATTGGCTTTCCATTGTTAGACATTAATGCCAATTTCTTGACCAATTGGAAGTAAAACCAAGTATAACTTGTTTACATATCTAAAAGTAAATAAACAAAGTTAAGACTGGGTGGGTTGCCTTGAGAACCCATCTGTTCTGGTGTGTTGTTTTCTGAGTTCTTAGAAATAAGTGCACACTATCTTAACTCTGGTGTAATTTTGAATATCAGAACCCTGAAGAATAGCTCTTACTAACAGACCTGGTGCATGACACAGTAGTTTGGGTGTGTTTCTATCTGACCAAACGATAGGCTTTGACCTGTTTTGAGACTTATCCGTGTCAATGGTACTGTCCATCTAG